ACCTATGGCCATGGGTCAAAAAAGGATACCCAAACTGGAACCCTGGTAAGTGGAAATATGGACTAAAACCTGCGGTCCCCTTGTGGATTAATTTGACCCATACCCATATGAGCGTGCCTCAATTTTAGGCGACCGCTAAAATGGTTGCTTCCTTTCGGTTTCCGATTGAGTACCAGCCCGCCATTTTGAGAATCTCCCACATGTGTCATGATCAAAAACCTGCTTGCTTGGGGTTGGCGTGGATGGTCATGGACCGCTTTTGTAGGGAATATTAGAGCCGTATCCGGACCCACATAAGGAGTTGTTACCTTGACACATACTAGACCTGGGTAGTTGAAGGCTAGTAACGGACAGTCGCATCGGAAATAGTTGCGGATGTTTGCCCCGTCGATTCGTTACGTGGTTCTGGGCAATCTCCTTTAGACAGAGTTCTCGTTTCCAGCTGATTTGGTTGGAGACAGCCATTAAAAAAAAGAGGGTCCTCAACGTCACGACGCGTGTGGCTTCGGATGTGGAGAACGCAGGTTTCCCATCGGACGCTGAGGGTCTCGAAACCACAATTGGGGTGAACTGCTCGCCGAGACCTTGTGGCTTCGGATGGGACCAACATGTCAGTCGTTCATCCGGAGTTCGCCGTTCCCCAAAGATGACCAAACCCCCGTTGGGGTAGAAACTCATGTCGGTTTCCTTTGGTTTGGCTTCCTTGTAGCGGCCGATCGATTTCTACCTCCCGATCGTGTATGGGAGCAACTCCATGTCCTTTGCGGGAAGCGACGAGACCTCGACCCTCCTGAACCTAGAAGCCAATTTGCTTTTCTTGTCCAACGCTGAGGGCAAACCTCAAGCATCTTCATTTGTGCAAGGCTCGGTGCACCCGGATCTCAGATCAAAGTTTGCCGAGTTTGGAGAGCACTTCGCAGGTATGTCAGTCCCTGACCTGTGATTTGTCCTCTCCACTTTTCTTGGTCCAGGCTTCTGCGGAACTTTTCCTCCAGGTCAGAATTATTTTGCCCATTGGAGCGGGTTCAAAGGGTGGGGGCTTTTGGCTTGACCACATTCCAGGGCTTGGGTTTTAAACTTAGGAAGGTTCATGCCAGAGATGGGTAGCCACCATCAAGATTTCGAGTCCAGCCACCCTCCGCCCCTTTTCCCAAGCGTTTGTGGAGGAAATCGCGCTAACCCAAGCCTCCTGTGCGGCTGGGTATGGGTCTGTCTTTTTTCAGGTACCCCCCCCCCCTTTGGTGGCTTTAACGGGGAACCACGTGTTTGTTTTTTTTTGTGTGTGTGTGTGTGTGCGTGTGTGTGTGTGTGTGTGTGTGTGTGTGTGTGTGTGTGTGTGTGTGTGTGTGTGTGTGTGTGTGTGTGTGTGTGTGTGTGTGTGTGTGTGTGTGTGTGTGTGTGTGTTTTTTTGGAGGGTCCCCCCAAAGAGTTGTTGATTGCACCTAGGGACGGCCATTTTTCCATGTTTTTCGCGCGTGGCGAAGCAGGACTCGGGGCTTTTGGAGGAGACCTGACGGCTTTCTGCGAGGGCCTCGGGCCCTTGTCTGATTAGTTGCACGTAGTCAAGACATGGGTAGCTCAAGGCCGGACATAGTAGTGGAATATTCTGGAAACCTGGTCTTTAAGTCATGTTTTCTTCTCAGTTTGGTGGGAGTTGAAAAGCGAGGGAGGTTTGGGGGCAGCTTTGTGAAGCATCACCTCGTGTTTGCTTTTGTTGCCTTTTGGGCCCTGTGTTTGGACATCTCCCTTGGGTGGTGCCGCGGCAAAGGGTAGTTGGAGCGCAAAGAGTCCTCAGACCTGCAGGAACTCGGGTCCCTTCGCTACCCAGTCCGCCCCCAGTTAGCCGCCACGTAACACCCAGTTCACCCCCCAGTGACTCGAGTAGCCTGTACCAACCGCCAGTAACCCGAGTAAGACCATCCACTTGACCAGGAAAAGGGGGAAGCCCGATGCTTGATTTGGAGCCATGGAGTTCTGGTGCAGACTTGAGACACATTGTGCAGCTCACGAGATTTTGGGCGACTAAACGTGACACACTTATTTGTTCAATCTTTTTTGAAGGATTTAGCCCTCATCATCCTGTTGGCCCAGCACAATTTGCAAAGGAGCGAGAAGTGCAAGGGCCTTTGATGCGGCCCATTGCCGACGAACCACCAGGCAACCACACCAGACAACCACTATGGGGCCGCCTCAAATTCCAATCGAAGCCACAGGCCCCGGCAACAAGCACTCCTTTCCCTTTACTTGGCCATGGGTCAAAAGCCCGGTTAGCCCCCAGTGAACATCCCAAACCATCCAAACCCCACTAAAATAGACTGAAATGGGTGGTGAATTTACCTACCCCAAAATGGGATCCCATTGGTTTTTGACCCACAGCCATTTGGGGACCTCTCATAGAAACCACTTTGGCGGAAGTTCCACAATGCCCTGGCCGGTGGACATAGAGCTCACCACGGTGTGGATGCGGTTTTGTGGATCCACCCCATGAAGGATTACTAGAAGAGTATTTAAAAAGGAACAGCTACTAAAGCAACATGGGGAGTCCACAGAAAACGCATCCAATCCGGTTTCGGGATGTCCGGTTTGCTAAATACACCAACTGTCCCAACACATTGAACCCAACACCCAGGCCTGGAAACGCTGCAATGATTGTGGAAACTTGGAGTTTGGGCCTACTTCACTGCAAGGCCCTTCAAACAAGTAGTCATTGGGAGGGCCCGTTTTGGCATAATGTGACGCCTCCCGAGGTATGGCTCCAAATGAAAGAGGGGCGGTTCAGGTCATCTTGGTAATTACCTGATTAATAACGGGTTGGGGGGGGGGGAGGGATGTATTTGGGCTCCCTCCCCCCCCTCTCTCGCTCGAGGTCCAAGAGTTTTGCTCCCAAGGCCGGGCATTCCTGGCGAACGGAGCGCGGGTCGACCAGCCTTGCGTGAAAGATGGCTGGCCTGGGCGTGTCTTTTGGTTTTGGGGTGGGGACCCTGCGAATGGTGGTTTTCCCTTTTGGCTTCCCTTCCAGAGCACCAAAAAAGGATACCCTCAACAAAAGCAACCCCCCCAGACACAAGCAAACGAGCAGCAAATGGATGGCCACATTTACGACCGAAATCAACCAGCTGAGCTACTGGAAAGTTTTCCAAGCAGTCAAACATGGTGTGCGCTGTCGGAACTGTGCACGCAAGGAAGTCTTTTCTGCGGGAGGATGTGAGGTCGCGAATGTCTCTCACAGCCACTTTTGAGAGTTTAGTTCAGGCTCTTAGGGTGGCTTGGCTTCTTCGCTTGGATCTCTACTCCCCTGCAAACTGACAAAGGACCACGCAAAGGGTGTTGCCAAAGAAGATTGCTAATTATCTTTGGGGGTTCGTTCAAATCAGGCTACCCTTAGTTTGCGGCTGGATTGGTGGTTTGGGCCCCGGGTTCTCGTAGAGGGCAAATGGGAAACCTCCCGCTGACCTCCAAACCCCGAATCCAAGCCACCAATCCAGACCGCCAATTGGAGGGAAGCTGATTAAACTTCCCAATAGAAACCACCAACAGGTCCCGCAACTTTTCGGTTTGGCTTGAAAGGAATGTTCCTACTCTCGTCAGCATGTGGAAGATTGGATAGGACCAGTTCCCATGATGCCAAGGCATGCCATCACAGTCACGGGAGTCCAACATTTTTGATCGCAGGAAGGGCAATTTCCACGACCATGTCTTGGAAAGTGTCCAACCCCCTTTTGGTCGAACGGTGGGTCACTTCTTGCAACGACCAAAAAGCCCACTGGCCCGCTGGCCCGCTGGCCCGCTTGGCTCGACGAGCCGGCGAGCTCGGCTGCGTGGGTGTGCGGATCGGCCATGGGGAAGAAGGGCAAAGATGGGAAGGACGCGGTGGAGGCGGTCGAGGACCGTGCCGCAGATGTGGGCAGTGGAGAGAGCCTGGGGTGCACCCATTGTAGTCTATTTTAGTGGGGATTGGAATGTTCACTGGTGACCCATGGCCAGATGTGTGGGTAGCTCAGCTCCCGGCCATCTCTTAGACATAGACCGAGCGTGTGGGCCAAACAAAGCTTCGCTGGTTGATTTCCGCGAGGACCCGGAGGAAGAAGAGGAGCGCGAGGCGTGCACGAGGGATCCTGTGGACCCGTGATGGTGTGGGGGCCATGTGTTTTGAAGGCTTCCCTAAGCATGAACATGTTTACCGGCGGGTGATGTTGAATTATTATGATTTTCCCAGAAACATGTCGGAACCTTCAAATGAATCATTATGAACGGTCCGGGGAGACACGCCTGAAAGAAAGGATGGGCTCAGATGCACTGAGATGCCGGAAGTCATGTTGTTGTTTCGCTTTCCTTGGGGTAGAGCACATGTTGACACTTACTGGTGACACTTATTGGTGACTAAAATATACTAAAAGTGAGGCACTCAAAATAATTGCGATGCATACGTGTTTGCTGTTTTTTGTTGCGAGGATATCGTTTTTTGGGCATGAAGGACACCAACAATTGTTTTGGTCCGACTGCTTGGCAGACACATCTTGCAACAGGGCTCGCACGGGGCAAGCGCCAATTCACATGTCGCAAAACACTTGACATCGCTTCAAGACGAAGCGCATGTGACCAATGTGTCAGGTCCCTGGTCTTTGGCGGATTCTTATGGGACTTTTCATTCAGCCTCCCAAAGTTGTGTTTTTCTGGGGCGTGGAAGGCCCACTCAGAGTTGGCTGAAGATTCAAGTAAGAAATGGAGCCTCCAGGACCTCACGACGTTTTATCTATGTTTTTCGTTTTGTTTTGAATGGCTTGTCCGCATCACTGAGCTCTGAGCACGCAGATATCAGAAATCATTGCGGTGCTTTCTGGATTGCGCTAGGTATGCCAAAGGGATAAAGGCAAAGGCACAAAGGAACACCACAGATGGAATGCCTCCATCCGCAGGTGCATTCTTCTGCCCAACGTATTCACCAAGAACATCAACGGGCCCCTGCCTTGTCTCAAGCGCCCTCTCCGACGCATTTCGCCATGGCGAGTCAGGTGTCCTTCCAGGTGACTTTGCTCAGTGGTGCGGAAGGCAATGTGACCGCAGATGCCAGCCAGAAGGTCCTTGAAGTGAGGAGCAAGATCTTGGAAGCGCTGAACTTGGACGCAAGCAGGGGAGAAGCGTTTTCACTTTTCCTAGACTCAGCTGCGGGTGAAGAAGTGAAGGATGACTGGAGCATCGCAGAGATCTCTGGTCGCAGCATTCTTGCAGTGGTGCAATCGGAGCCGGAATGGTGCACAAATAAGCGCTTCTCCAAGAGTTATGTCCACGGACGCCGATGTGGTATGGAAGAGACCTCTGAGGACGTCGACCTCAAGATTTATGCAGGTGGCACGTTCAGCTACAGCAACAAACACCACGAGCATGACGCTGAGTGCGGCTACGCGTTTGACTCCAGTTTGACAGCAACTGGTCAGTGGAAGCTTCTTTGGGACGCGTCGGATAAGTCAGAGGTCTTGCAACTCACAGGAGAATCCACCACGCACGTCAGACGGACGATTAGCAGGGGCTGTTACAGTGACCCTGGTGGATCCGGCGACGAAGATGACGAAGATGACGAAGATGATGAAGATGGTGAGGCGGACCAGGACGAAAGCGTGGGTAGAAACTGCGACCGGACCACGACCCAAGCGTTCTCAAAGTCGTTTTTGAAGGCTGAGTTGATGAAGCCCGAGAAAGGACATCATCAAAAAGGCGGTTGGACGGTTTCTGCTTTGTGAAGCGCTGCGTGATGCGTGGAAGAGTTGTTTTAGGCATGAGGACGGTGATGACAGCGAACCGCTGTGCTGCAGACAACGCGGTTGTACAGGGCTACAGACAACTAGAACTGTGACCGCTCCGCGTGTCTGTGTGTTGATTCTGTCAAAGTACTGGGACTATTTCGCGCTGATCTTTGTCACATCAATTGTGCAAAGAAACAAGCCTGTGCAGGGAGTGCCATGCGTGAGCTTTTCCTATGAAGGAGCATGCTCCTCCAGGGTTCTTTGTTTGGGTTCCGCGTTTCTGTCCAACAGTCAGATCACAGCTTCATTTACGGGCTTGGAAGACATGGGAAGAGTGCACCAAAGCGAGCGTGACAACTTCTGCGCCCGGCGATTTTAGTCAAAAAGGAAGCCACTATGTACAAACAAGTGTTGGGCTCTTCTTTTGCCAGGGCATGTGGATGGGTGGTTTGCTGACATGCAATCATTGGACTGAGTTTTCGGGTGTTGAGACAATGTGCGCGAGCCTTTTTGCAATTGCAATGTGCATGATCAGTTGGACCGCCTGGTGCAGCCCACGTATACTTGGATGCTACCTCAAATGCACGTGTGCCACTTTTCGTATGATGTTCGCCCCTGGCGAGTACACTTCACACATGGCATGGCGCTGTTTGCTTCAGGAGTTTCTCACCCAGGTTCTTAGTCTCTCTCTCTCTCTCTCTCTCTCTCTGGCTGCCAATGGGAGAGTTCCCAAACACGTCGCAGGCTTCTTCTCCTTGGAATCCTTCACTTGGGGTGACGTCTCATGGGACGGATGGATGTAGGGGAGGGCTTGACAGGGCCTGCGAGGGTCCAAGTGTCCAAGTACCGATGGACAAGACTCGTGCGGATAAGTGTTCCTTGTACAGTATATATACATATATATGTACATATGCTAACCCCCCCTTGAAATACTCAGGTTTTTGGCCGTAACTGGGTTTTTGGGCAGACTGGGGGTGACAAATGATTTGAGACTCTGAAATGAACTGACAGGACGCACAACTCCATGCAAATTTCAACCAAGCAGAAGTTAAGCTCAACGTTGAATAGGAGTTCCTATTTAAACAGCTCGAAAGTCACATTGGCGCGCCCGCGAGCGCACTTCAAGTCCCATTGGAGCATGCAAAGTGCACTTTGGCAGCTCCAGCTCAAAAAGCACAACTTTTCAGCACAAGAGTAGCGAAGCTGCTTTGGCAGCTTGAACGTGCCTAGTAGCTCTATTATTTGGCCGTGGTTTTTTTGGCGGGAAGTCCAGCAAATCATCAACTTGGGGAAAAGGAACTCACTCCTACTTGCAACTGACATCAACAATGAAATAGAAAGTGTCTCATGCCCTTGCGCAGTTCATTTGCATGTTAACTCAAGTGTTGTGCATAATTCCCTGTACATCTAATTCAGTCTGATGGAAACATTTTTTTGTAAAGCAACTATCTTAGTTGTGTGTTGCTTGTCTAATTTGGTTCAACCATCATCAAGAACAACTATTAATTTCCAACCATAGGCAATTCAAAACGCTTTCGAGCTCAAACCAAATTCGTGTTTAATCGCTTGGAGTGTCGCGCGTTTCTTAAGCTGTACAGGTTGCAAACAAACAGAGGGGTACGCTGTGGGCCCTGGTGTTTTCCATTTGACATGCTTGTTTTTGCAGACGTGCAAACAGCTTACTTCAAGGCAAACCAACTGACTCAACACCAATCCGCACCTCAACAGCTCCAAACATGTTAAAGAGTATAACCTTGATGTGATCATATCTGCAGGGTGTAGAATAAATAATATTTTAGGTACAAAGTTAAGAAAATGGGCAACACAAACATTAAAGCGACATATAACACAAGGATATACCATTAATCAATCAAAAGTTGAAACTGGCCCTAATCTTTTGACTGCCTGAGTGGCGTCCTTCCCTAGTTTATGTTCTTGTTGTGACTTAGAATCATTACATTTTTTAGTAGTTACTTTCCAGATGTAGTGTTTCATGCAGTGAGGAAAATGTACCAAAGACCATAAACATAGATATTTTGGGGAGTAAACGTACTATTGATTTGGCTATCGAAGCTGGTGCTGAATGTTCTTATGACCAACAAATCTTAGTTCTCAACTCTAGACCTCTTCTAGATCTAGTAGTTAACATTACATGTGCGTGAGGGTTACCATGATGTATAGAGAGCCGAAAACAACCTCGAAAAATCGGAAAGAAATGCAGAGTACATTACTGGTATACCTTGTCATCTCTCCTGTAACTTTGGTTTTTGTTTGTGTTTTCTTGATTTCTGGACGTTTTTGTTTTCCCGGTTCGAGGCTTCTAAGTGTCTAAGTGGGTAGAACCAAGCATCTCTCCTAGAACGATGTTTGTTTTTTCTGATTTCTCGAGGTGTTTTCTGTTTGGCGTTTCCAATCAGCCAAATCACATGAATTCATGACAAGAGCGCTTGGGTGCAAAAACCCGCGGCCCAGGGCGTACCCTTCTGCAAACACCCTGGCCAAATGCAGGCAGTGCAAGTGCACATCCACAATGTGATTATGTCAATGTGCACTTCCTGTCTGCTTTTTGGGTTCTCAATCCGCACTTAGGGCAATCCAGGATGTGGCACGTGCTAGAACATGCTGGGCTGAAGATTGAGGATTCTTGCAACTCTTTATGGAACTCTTCAAATGTGTTTTGTGGACTTGAGGGCTGGTTAGGATGGAAGATTCTCAAATACAAAATATGGTAGATCTTCAAACTTGAATGCAGGCGGCAAAGCTTTACTGAGTCGAGAACAAACTGTCAAGCTTTTGGGGGGCAAGGATTGAGGATGTGCAACACGATCTGAGCAATTGCTGAAAAGCGCCGCGTTTTACAGCATTTATCCCAACAATAAGGTCTACGTTTGAAAGCACTTGTCTGCCGTTGGCTTGGCTCAGTTCTTGCTTGGCTAAACCACGTGGACTTAGATCAGGACAGTCGCCGTTTTGAAATGGAGTTTGGTTCCAAGTTCATCCGGCCATGACAATAGCTATGTCCTCCCAGGATGTGCTAGCACATCCTGGATTGAATATTGAAGATTGAAGAATCCCAGATAGAGTTGTCGGGGAATCTTCAATCTTCAACCTTCAATCCAGGATGTGCTAGCGCGTGCTAGCTCATCCTGGATTGCACTAAGTACCGATGCAGGAATTTAATTCTAAAAAAGGAGTGCTGTTTTAGAGAAGCTGGAACGTGCGTTTTACCTCATTTTTACAGCAAAAATGTCAATTCCTGGCCAACAACCTGAGTATTCCAGGGGCATATATGCAATAATACTATATATGTGTATATCTACTAAGTAGTATTACATACATATATATATATAGTTTGTTTTCCCGAAAGCATTGCGAAGGGTTCTTTCGTGCGGAGCTCTTGGTCAACTTGCGCAGAGTAGCTTGCACAGAGTCACCAGCATGGAGATATCAGGAGCTCTTGGTCAACTTGCGCAGAGTAGCTTGCACAGAGTCACCAGCATGGAGATACCAGCATGGAGATACTCGCGCAGAGTTACTGGCGCAGAGTAGCTTGCGCAGAGTTACCAGCATGGAGATACTTGCGCAGAGTCACCAGCATGGAGATACCAGCACGGAGATACTTGCACAGAGTCACCAGCATGGAGAGCCAAGCGCATAGAGCCAAGTGCTCAGAGCGAAGTGCAAAGAGCGAGGTGCAAGGAGCCAAGTGCACAGAGCCAAGTGCAAAGAGCGAAGTGCATCGAGCCAGGCGCATAGAGCCAAGTGCATAGAGCTAGGTGCATAGAGCTAAGCTAAGCTAGGTGTAGAGGCTCGGATTTAGCAGCTGTGTAGGCTAGGTTAAGTAAGTTAGGTTAAGTACTTAACGCGCGGGAAAGAAAGAGAAAGAGCTCGGTATTAAGAATCTCTTTTACGGCGGGGGGTGGGGATGTTGCCGACGATCGGGAATGCGACCCTCTCCGGAGATCGGTGTGGTCGAGGTGCAAAAACTCGAGGTTTTTTTTGCGTTTTTTGATATTCCCGCGCGACCCTCTGCGGAGATAGGCGCGATCGAGGTGCAAAAACTCCAGGTTTTTTACGCTTTTTGATATTCCCGCGCGACCCTCTGCGGGGATCGGCGTGGTTGAGGTGCAAAAACTCAAGGCTTTTTGAGTTTTTTGCGGTGCCCGCGCGACCCTCTGCGGAGATCGGCGTGGTCGAGGTGCAAAAGCTCGATTTTTTTGGCGTTTTTGTCGGTGCCCGCGCAACCCTCTGCGGAGATCGGCGTGGTCGAGGTGCAAAAACTCAAGGTTTTTTGCGTTTTTGACTTTCCCGGATGAACCCTCTGCGGAGATCGTGCGTGTCGAAGCGCTCTCGCTGTGGCGCCGTGCGGGTTTGTTGCTCGCGAAATGGCCTTTGGAAGTTGTCTCGTGGTTGGCGCGCCTGCTTTCGCAATCCCGCGGTCGCGGGTTCGATTCCCCCCTGGTCCGCGGCAGCTCCGGCTTGAAAATCGCAGCTTTTTAAGCACAAACGTAGTACGCGGAGCGTTCTCCTGCAGCTCTGGCTGGAAAATCGCAACTTTTAAGTACAGATGCAGTATGCGGAGCGTGCTCCCGCAGCTCCGGCTGGAAAATCGCAACTTTTAAGTACACACGTAGTACGCGGAGCACACTCCCGCAGCTCCGGCTGGAAAATCGCAACTTTTAAGTAACATAGTACGCGACGTACATTCCCACAGCTCCGGTAGCACTTGCGCAGAGCAACTTGCGCAGAGTCGCTTGCGCAGAGCAACTTGCGCAGAGCAACTTGCACAGAGCACTTGCACAAAGCACTTGCGCAGAGCAACTTGTGCAGAGCAACGCTTGCACAGACCAACTTGCACAGAGCACATGCGCAAAGCGCTTGCACGGAGCAACTGGCCCAGAGCACTTGCGCAGAGCAACTTGCACAGAGCACTTGCGTGCAGCAGCTCGCAGAGAGCAACTTGCGCGCAGCAGCCTGGAACAATGCAGCTTGCGCAGACCACTTTCGTGAGAAATCGCGCGGCGCAGTTCGTGCAAAGCACATTGCGCCGAGCAGACTCGTGCAGAGCCAACTTGCACAGAGCCAGTTGCGCAGAGCCACTCGCGAAAAGTAGGTTGCGTAGAGCCAACTTTCACAGAGCCAAGCTGCGCAGAGCCATTTTGCACAGAGCTAAGTTGCGCGAGCGTGCTTTGCAGAAACTGTGGCCGTCGTGTAAGCTTTGCTATTGATTGCTTTTCCTTTTGCTTGCAATTCGTTTCGAGCTTTACGATCTTTACTCTTCTTGTTTTACGGATGTAAATATGTGGGATCGAGCACTGCCATGTTTCCTCTCGTAGGACGATGAGATGGATCTCTCATGTGACCATACACATTGAGCATTGCCGTGTGCAGACACGCTCGCCGCAGCGACGTAAAAAGGTGTCTCCGCGGCTGGATGAGCACCTGGGGAAAAGTGCTTTCGGGCCAATCGTCCTCTAGTTTTTTTGGGTGGGGGGGGCACGGGGGTCCGGGTGCTTACTCTTTGATGCACAACCGGGGTCGATGAGGGGTAGGTTAGCGAGTACGCCTCCCGTGTCATATTTTTGGTGGCATAAGAACAAATGAAGCACGCTCCAAAATGGCTTGTTGCATGAGTCCAACCAGGATGATGTCCACAGTGTCCACCCCATGTTTCTGCTTTGGGCCTTGGCTCGGTCTGTGCAATCTGGGCAAGTTGTTCTTCGCGACACGATTGGCGCCTGGTGAAACCTAAAGACTGCGGGACATCACTCAAAGGGATGTCCAATGTCAGAAGGGAAAAGGGCTGTATCCCCATGAGGCACGTTGCGTAGGTTCTGTTTGAGTTTTTCAGATGTTGAAGGAGAAGCCAAGCAGGTGCCCTCCCACAGGTGTTATGGTGGTTGAAAAGCGTATGAGTTTGCTCTGCTTTCCCACAGTTTTGTGCCCGAGTGGCTTGTTTGCAATATTTCGGGCATAGGGTCTCAATTCCTCTCCTTGCAGGCCATGGACCGCCAAAACCGATCTTCGCTCGCCAGGTAGCGCCGCCCTTGCCTCCAGAAGCTGTCACTGGCTCAGAGAGATACACAATCGTCCAAGATGAGAAGCACGTCTGATTTCGTGGGGGTCCCTGTCGATCAAAAAGGGGCGTACCACAATTTGGGTATGTGTCACAGGGCGGGGCCAAAGCTTGAAGTGGAAGGTTTTCCTTTGGCCTTCCAGATAAACCGACCCTACAAAGAGTGCCCTCCGTTTTTGCGAGGGTATCACGTTGGCTTAAACGGAATCCATCAGGACAACCACAATTTTCCCGGGTTCCTATTTGACACACATGTCACATACCCGTCAATGGTGATAAACAAGTGTTTCCCTACAAATTTGTCGTAATTGCAGCCACTGGGTGAATTACGGCGACCTTACCTGCCTTCAAAAGGTTCCTTTCTCCGGGGGTTCCTGTCGATAAAATGGACGCATTTGTTCTGCATTTCCCTGGTTGGAGGGGATGTTCGGGGGTTATTCGTTGCTGAGGTTTGCGGGGTTCGCGAGCTTTAGCGGCAACCTCGTTGAATGGGTGGAGCCAAGATCTTGTGGAAGGACTTGACTAACTGCCTCAAAACAGCCCCACCCTCAGTTCCAACCTCACAGGGACTCCGTTTCTCATATTATGCTGTGACAGTCGAGTGAGGGCGAAGGGCCTTTTTCAGTTTTTTTGCCTTGTTTTCCGTCCAAGGAGTCGCAGATCCTGCGCGGCCTTGACTGGGAGGCGGGTCAGGTCTGGGAGGTGGCTGGGCGACAGCAGCCGATTTTCCAGAGCTTGGGCATATGAAAAGGAAGCGGAGGGCGCGTCTGAATTGGTGACTGTCCTTTTAAGAATACATGTTACGAAGGATTACGATTTTGCACAGACATATGTTCTTTTTTGCAAAGAGCAAAGTCCTTAAACGTGAATGATTCCTTTGGGAGGTGCGACAACACTTCTCCCCAAAAGGAGTGAGGAGCTAACTACGTATCCACATGTTGAAGACCGTGTTCTTTTTGGGTCGTTGGAAGAGCTGTGTGGTCAAGTTCACGGTCTCCTATGGGAGTTTTCAGCGGACCCAAGAAGACGTATCCTTCTGGATCCCTTGGATCCCTGGGTCGACCTTTGATTTTGAGCTAGGTTCTGGTTTCATTTCCCCCCTCCCCCCCAGCGGTATGCACTTTCCCCCTTTCATCCGAAGGGACTGACCAAACAAATGGATGTGGTTGAACGTGGTTGGATGTGGTTGGATGCGTGATTCACTTGCCAATTTTTTTTTCGAAGAACCCACTGCATTTGTACGACGCATTCCGAAAAATGTCGGTCTTTTCCTACTCACCGCGGAGACCCTGACCACTCTATGGAAAGGCACGATTCGAATCTGATGGCGAGCGATTCGACCGATGTAGCACGAGAGAATCAAAGGCCCGCATGAAGGTCCCTTGAAATGCGGGTGTCTCTCAAAATGGTGTCCCCCAAAACTCTTCTCGGTTTTCTTGCGGCATTCCCACACCAGCAAAACTGCAACGTGAGGTCTTGAGCCCTCCAATTTTCAGTCATGGACAGTCCAAGTCCGAGGTTCCTTGCGCGCTAGATCCATCGCAGTCACTCGCCAGAGGGCCCGCTGGCCGTAGGTGCACCTCATGCCAGCGCACCGGCGGCGGTACTTCTACTCCCGGACAAGGCAGGGCGGGGGCCGTTTTTTTTGGGGTCCCACTTTGGTGTTTAAAGGGAAGCCGCACGTTTTCCTCCACACCAAAACGAGTCGCTTCCCCTTTTGGGCCCACAGGAAACCACGAGATTTCGATGAAGGGCCCCTTTTGGGTCTGTTGGCTTCCACAGTGCCGACACGAGTCTCTCATCCGAAAACATGCCAGCAGCGCTTGACCATACAAGAGGTGGTGTTCTACTATTCTGTCTGAGAGCCAAAAGGGGAGCCAACCCTTTGGGTGGCATTTTTTTTCTTCTCGGAGATACCCAACATGGAGCTGTCAGTTTTCCCTTTGGGTTTCCTTTGAACGCCACGAAGAAAAGCAACGGTCGGTGCCCTCTTCGCTCAGGCGCCAGGCCCGGGTACAGCCGCCCTACCACGCCATCCTGGGCCTGGAGGCCGTCAAGAGACTGGGATTCGTTCGTTGGTCTTTCCCGGGTTCTGTTTATGGGTGTGTCTCAGCTTGTCCCGAATGGGTGGTTTGGAGTGGCGGTTTGGGGATTTGAAGCCAATGGTTCTTGTTGATGGTGGATGGAAAACCCCTAACCACCAAACCAGCAATCCAAACCACCACGTAGAGGGAAGCTGCCGTCTTTTTAATCATGCCATCTTTGATGGAAGCCAAAAGGGACGCCGATTTCCGCTTTGGGGGAAGTACAAATCCTAAGGCATGGACGAACCACGCATTTTTTTTCCGGCGAAACGGTGGACTGAGCTTTGGGAATGATCCCAAGGGATCCGAAGCCATGGGTGTCTTATGGGATGGGCCGTGGCTTGGATTGGGATTTGGCTTCCCAGGGATGGGGGAAAAGTCCGGGAACAGCAGGGCTCCAAACTAATTAGAGGAGGGACACAAATTACTGGGACAAAGCACCAACCCCCAACTGCGATGGGTATGGGTCAAATTAAACCACCAGATCGCAGATTTTAGTCCTTTCCTTTGCCAGAGGTCCATGTCAATTTTGACCCGCACCCATTCTGTCCATCCACAGTAGGTTGGTTCCTTTATGCTGTCAATTACCTTTGGGATGGTAACCAAGCGAAGGAAATAGATGGATTCATCATGTTTTAATTCTTCATATTGCTGTGCAATTTATATTGTCTATCATGTCTATCACTTTTTCATTTCTTATTACATCCTTGCCTTTTTCTATCTGTCCTAATCCTTGCCAAGCATTTCCAGTCGTTGACCCAGGAATCGGATTGTTTTTGCCATCCAACTCGCCCCCCAAGTGGTAGGTTGGAAAGCAACCCCAGAGACTCACTTTGGAAGCTCCGGAGTGGGGTGACACGTTTCGCAGCTCCCAGGTTTGGGGTCGCACCATGCCGCAAGGAAGGTGACCTTGACGGGGTGAGACGTGTGATGATGTTCGGTCAGAGCATGTCCAGTGCCAATGTTGGAGGGAGCCACAAAATCCCAAGGGTCGCCTGTTCGCTCCAAGGGTAACTTGAGATATTTTGACCCATGGTTGCCATCCCCTCTGGGAGGCCTGGAAGTCGACGGCTTGTCTTGTGCGCGCCCGGGCGGCTCGATCAGTTCACAGACCAGTTCCCTGTGGCATAGATTCTGAGCTGACCACAATCAAACGCACACCAGCACCTTTTGGAGGTGAGGCGTAATTACGCTGCCAAGGTTCCGTTGAAACTGCCACGTTCGCAGGTTCAACGAGGCGAGCGTTGAGAAACCCGGTACTAATGAGAGCGGGCGACTCCCACTAATGGACCACTCCGAACCAACAACCCAAACCACAAGTTCAAGCCACCAGGCTAAACCAAACGAGGGTCAATCTGAATTTGCTGCCGCATTTAGAGAGGAAATTGAGGGACTGCTGCTCGGAGTGGATGACCCCAGCTTAAACCAGGCCACCAATGAAGGGTTTCCTGCAAGGTTGCCAGCCTTATCGGTCATGGCCAGGTTCCTTTTTTGAACCAAGGTAAACAACCCAAGCCTAACGGGGCTGACGAAGCACCGGGTCTCCGGGCTTTTCCGACGCAAAGCGGCCCGGGCGGAGAAGCCATGGCTCACGCGGAGTTGGAGAGTGCGGAGGACTGGGAGAAGGCTGCGAAGAGTGTACTGTCGGAGGCCAGCTGGGAGTACATCTCAGGAGGCGGGGTGTGGGTGTGAGGGGGGGTGGGCTGGGTAGGTGGGTGGCTTTCGCAAAGCCAGATCAAGCACGTTTGTTTTTTGCCACACCTGATTTTGCAACATCCGCCTTTGTTTGGTTTCGGTTTGTTTCGACAGCAGCTTTTGCAAATCAGGTTTCTTGAGCAGCAGGTTGGTTCAGCCAGTGGTTTTGAAGGCACTTGTAAGCTGTCGATCTTTATGAAACCTGTTTTTTTTGAAAGCCTGGTTTCGGATAGTATGTTGCAACCACTTGGGCAAAGACTCCTTTTGTTCAGAGGTCCTTGTGTTATTCCCCTAAACAGCACCAAGGACCCCTTGTTTGTTTACTTTCTTCAGGGTACTAGACTTCTCTTTGGGAAATGTATGGGTTTCCCCCAAAGGTGGTAGTTGCATGTGTTGGAGGTATGAACCCCAACCTGGTACCAACATATCCAGCACGTGTCCACACCCCTGGACCTGGAGAAATGCGTTCGCAACGTCCCAGGCGAAAGGTAGAGCCATACTGCCAGAGGAATCATCAGCAACCAGGGTTTCTGAACGGTGGTGCGAAGTGGATTTTGCAACCATCCACAGAATTTGGAAGCCACGTGGCAAAAAGGGACCCACCCGAGGAGAGGCTGGCACGATCCAGCGGAACCGGGCGGCCTTTGCGCGCTGGGCCTTTCGGCCTCGGGTGCTGCGTGACGTCTCCTCCATCAGCGCCTTGACATGGGCAATTCGCCCTCCATTGGTGCACCCCCTGAAAATAGAACCATGCGCCATAGGCGTCCTTTTGACCGGTTAGCTCGGTAAGAAATAGATGGCACTGGGCACTGGTTCTGAGTGGTGTATTCCATTTACCAGGGCCGTCTATGTTACCAAAAGCACACCTATGCATATTTGCCATGTGCCCTGTGAGCGGTTGTGCCAAACACTGCGGATGGACGAAACCCTGCACGTCCAAATACCGTGCCGCGCCCAAAAGGCCACTTGCGACGTCCACGCTCCAATGAGAATATGGGTGAAGGGCGCCCTGAAAGGGCACCAGCTCCGAGATACAGGTCTGCCTGTGCTTCCCCGTTTGCTTCTTGACACCGCCCTTTGATTGCCAATGTGAAGCCATATGCGCTGCAATATTATCCGTCACCTACCGTTCTCAAGCGACACATGGTGTGCACCAAATTGCCGCAAGGAAATGCGTGGGCGGGGGGCAGAGGTGCTTACCCGATTCCAATGTCTTTGGGGCAGCTCACATGCTTTGTCGAGGTGATGTTTACAGAGGCAATCCAGGGGCACCCAGCAGGATGTATGCTGGATTCTCTTAGTATCGCAAGCGAACCAACCACATCAGCAAAAAAACCCTGGCAAGTTGCTGTAATTTTCACACTGCCACGAGTTCCCCTTGCCATATTTGGCCCGCCCTCCATCTTGGCTAGGTAGGAATTATTCCTTATTCAAAGGGCGTTTTCTCTGGTGACACATTTTGCTGGAACCATCCTAAGAACCCTAACAATGCAATCGTGTGTGTTGTTGCAAAAGCAAGTCTCACTGTGCACTCATTTGAGGGGGGTCCTCTTGGGCCCCTCTCCAGACTCACGGGAATCAAGTGACCGGCACACAAATTCAGAGGAGGCATGAGGTGTGGCTTTTTTGAGGGCATACACCTTTTTTTGAAACCAGTTTAGGGGGTCCTGTAAAAAAGCAACACCCATTAAATCCCTAGGCAATCTATCACAGGGTCTGATTTGTCAAGATACATACCCGTGGGTGGACTTGGGAACTTGAGTGGTGACCCCATGACGCGTGCAGGGGTCCCCATGTGTCCCCTTTAGTGGGTTTAAGCATCACTGTACCCATTTGGGATGGCTTCAATATTTTAAGGGAAATCGCCCGGGCTTGTGTGTGTGTGAGTGAGTGAGTGAGTGAGTGAGTGAGTGTGTGTGTGTGTGTGTGCGGAGTGGCAGAAAACCCTGCCACCAAAACCGTTTTCTGTTGCAGCAGGGGGTGGCAGCAGGGCCGAGAGTCTGCCACCAACGAAGACACTCTCGTGACCCTGGTGAAGCAGTTGGAGACGTCCAGCTGTGTACCTGCAATGGTTGTGCAAAGTCCTTTTGGCCCGTTGTTTCTCTCGCTGTGTGTGCTTCATGTTGAACCTTGTAACGTTTTCGCCGCTAGACGGAAGCCGAGAGACTGCAAGCCGAACCTACACCCACTCGAGACTCATCAGTTGTACTCGAGACTCATCAGTTGTACTCGAAAGATTAGCACTCTCCATCTGGAGTTTAAGTGTGTACACCCCATTCGTGGGGAATCCTCGGGTGTACCCATTGTGTGACCCCGGGCCGGCTCTGTCGGAAAATTTGACCTCAACGTGCGTATCATAGAAAAGCGGAACTTCACATTTAACCAGGAACGAGGTCTCACTAAAGGGAAGACAGCGGTCAGCTCATAGAGACGTCTCACCACAGTTGATAGTTGCCGATTTTCATTGCATTTCCTGACCATTGGTTGAACTTGTTGCTCGTATCACTGCGGTTGACGATTGCTGACTTGTATTTGCTTTGCCTTGTACTTTTCGATCGAACATTGCAGTTGAGGGCCGCTAACTTGCATTTGCATTGATTTGAAAGTTGTCGGGTCTGATTCTCTCAAGGTGGAAGTGTGCAAATTCAGAGTCAGTTGCATCACCATGTCTCGACGTGATGATCGTGATAGATCCAGGGCTCGACGCAGACGTGATCGGAGTCCGTCCCCTCAAGCTCACAAAGCACGCCGACGTGAGCACAATGACAACCAGGTCTCGGAGAACATGGATTGGAATAACTTGGTTTCATGGCAACACAACTCCGGCTACAACGCTGCTAACAACTTTCCGATGATGCCTACCAATTTTCAATCGACTCACAACCCCACACAACAATTCCAGTACCCGGCGATCAACTACATGATGCCGATCCCTCCTGATCCCACGCCATCCAAGTTCATGCCACCAGTGATGCCACCACCGGTCACTACTTCCCAACCTACACCGTCACCTGGACCTCCTGCAGCTCTACCGGTTCGTCCTCAGAAAGCCTGGCTTACTCCCTCGCCTGACTGGACACCTGGAGACGGCATGTTTGATGTCAATCAACTCTACAACTTCAGCCTGCCCATGACTGTTGCCAACACTCCGCATGGCAACCTTCGCGACATGTCAGGCATGGATATTAGGGACGTACGCCTGGTTCAGGTTATCCACGGGGGCCTCACCAACTGGCTACTCAGGCCGTTTGCACACGGCCGATTCGTGACGTGGGAAGGCTTTCGCACCCGCACTGAGGCCTTACTTTGGAGTACCTGCTCCAAATTACTACGAAGATCGCAGTCACTCAACCTGCTCACCCTGGAAAAGGACCTTGCCAACACGCTGGGTCTCAACATTGATGACTTCAATCAGCGCATCAAGGTCCACGACCATTTGGCCAACCTGGTACTTCAATTTCTTCAACAACATCACACCTCTCTCGCACCTACCGCCCAGACCGATGACATGGTCAAAAAGTTCAATGATTTGAATCGTGCACACGAACTTCTCCAAGCTCAGTATTCCGCATCACTTCGCGCGTCGACCTCGCCCACGATGACAAACCAGAAGGATGATGCAGAGTTGGTTACACCGCCACCGGTCAACCACACACCATCCTCGTCACCTGCCAGCTCCCTTCCTACAGCCAGCGCGGCCGCCCTGGATGGCAAGTCGTTTGATAGCGTGGTGCAACCTCGGATCATGCAGTCTCTTCACGGAGTGTCGTCACCGCCGTCCAAACCGGCGGCGTCACAATTGCTCACCATGCACAGCACGCCGGATGAAGTTGTCAAGTACTACACATGGACCAGTGACCAACCTCGCCTTTTCCTCAAGCAAGCACCCACAACAACCACTTTGGCATCGCTGGTTAAGTGGGCCAATCACCCGTCCCGGCTCAACGGCAACAAGTCATTAGATTCTATGGCGACGCAGCTTCTTCAGGCGAGGCAACGCATGCCGAAAGGCGATGCACCCACACTCGGTGCAATGGCCGCGTCATGGGGTCTAGAACCCGGATATCTTACCAAACTCACTGAGAAGGCATTGAGTCACCTCATCGTGACCGCTCGCCTGCTCTGTGGATGAGAAGGCATCATGATGACCTTCGTTCTCATATGAGCCCGGAGCGGCAACAATGTCACGGATGAGTCCAGGTGAAAACTCGTCCGTCAAGTGTCTGCGTTGCACCTGATTGATCTTGTACTTGCTTGTTCTTGCATTGCCTCTTGTGTGATTGTCTGTGAGACTTGTGTTCATGTCGCCGCCTTGTGGTAGATTTCGTTGGTTGCATCTCACCATGTTGGATGAACTTCGCCGCTGCGGAATCTATGATGATGTTGCACAATGGCAGTCGCTGGACGACCTTCTGCACTCGTTGACCATATTCTCTACGTGCTGGCATTACTGTTTTCCTGGACTACCACCACCGTCGATTCCAATTGAGGAGTACGAATCCATCACACAATTGCCGTGGCTGGGTCTCATCCTGAGGTCTTAGTTGTGGTCCGGATAGCCCTTCAGATTCCGAATCGCGCTATGTCCAACTCTCAGCACACCGTGGCCAACAGGTACGAGCTTCACAGATGTCGGTGCGCTGCCTATTTATTGATCAGTTTCTTACAACGTCTCATTTCACAAGATCACGGCTACTTCCCGCCGTTCTTCGAAGTCCTTCACTTCTACAAGACTTCTCTCTTGTGTGAAATCATGCACTCAACTTTCGCTGACACGCGACATCTACGCTCATTGCGGGCGCGATTTCCTGACCTCTACGACTTCATACATGATCCAGGTCATCACCAACAACCGTGCGTCTACATTCGACTTTCCCCATGGCACACACCATACTATGTTGGGGCGACTGATCAGGATGTTCTACGTCGTGAACACTCACGCAGTCGCAAATTTCTACAACTACTTCGTGGACGGCATGCCTTCTTTGAACCGGCGCTTCACTACTGGAAACGATCCAATACTTACTGGCTCTTCTGTGCTGTGCCAGTGGAAATCAAACTTCCAGTTTCCTCGGTGTGGGTTCAAGAAAGCAAATGGCAATACCTGCTACGCCCGCATTTGAATGCGCCCTGGGTACACAGAATCTTGCGCAAGATAAACTTCCGGGAACATCTTGTAGATTTTCGACGCCACTCGTTGTCGTCTCCCACTTCCCTCGGCTTGCACAAGCGCTTTCGACGACGACTACATCCGGATCTCCAACGGCAACTACGACCTGACACCCTGGATGACATTCAAGCCCACTACTCGATTCTCTATCAGCTGGGATCGAATACAGGAGCGTCGTTCCAAGTCATGCGTGACCTACTGTCGGCCGCTTTCCCTCCCACTCAGCTGTACTACTTATTGCGGCTCGCAGTCTTTGTCAACGAGCCCTTCCGCTCCAAGGCCCAGAAGCTCCTCGCCCAGGTACTGCGCAAACGACGGCTACAACCACCCACCACTTTAACACAGCTACTCTTGCCGCCGCTACATGTCCAGAAGTGGAAAGCTCTACTGGGCACATGGTTACAAAGCTGGATTGCTTCTCATCGGGATCTGTTCCCTTCTCTTTTCATTCCAAAGATCCGGGTTGTGGAAACTCGCAGCGCCACATTGGGCGACAAGATATACAACTATCGCACATGGCAGCGCAAATGGACGCCTGACACATCCTTTCCGTGTCGCTGTTTGGACATCGATGATCACCATCTACACCGTGCACATGGTCACGCAGTGATGGTGGATGAGTTTTCTCGCATCAATGCGGACATTAACATTGAAATCATGGCCGCCTCAATGAAGGATCAGTTTTTCGGTGATGTCGACTTATTGCATCAACGTTTCACCACACAACTTCGCAAACTTGCTCGCCGCTGGCATGTACATGGTTCCGATCTACTTTCAGATCTACAGCCGGTTGTGACTCAGTTAATGGATACTGATTCGCGATGCTCGTCAATGCAGACATCGAGTCCTCGGTGGGCTCGTCGGTACCGGATGGGGCGTGGCGGGAACCGTCACCGCCGCCATTCCATGATCCTTGGAATGATTCGGATTGACACTTGAGTAGCATGTTGGATAAAGATGCGGTTGTGCTTGCTTTGTATGTGTGTCCTCATTGGGTTGTCTTGCTTGGTGCTGTGCATGTCGTCTCTATATGTCCGCCGCTTTCCGTGATAACTTTGAGCAGCTTGTCGGGTTGAAATGTTCAATAGTACGGTACAGGGTGCAGCACGATGGGTCCTACCTCGCTATTTTGACTATGACATCGTCAATGGGCCGGCAGGAACGCGTGTGGAATGGATTCGAATCTATGTACCGGGTCAGTGGCATCCAGTAGCCCCTGACACCCTGGGACCGGCCCCGGATGACCCGTCCACCTATCGGGAATGGCGCAAGGTCCACCACTTTGAAGTGTACTGGCCCAGGGAAAGCACGGGCGGCGCAACTATAGGCACGGTTCTGCAACCGGTATCCTACGCCACCTTCTACACTTGGTATTACAGGGACTGGGTCACCAAGGGGTACCAACGCCTGGGTCGTCCACATCCCAGCATAGCGAGGCCAGTTTTCGCTTCGGGTGCACCGGACCTCATGTATGCTGGATTGACCTCCTCCTCGGCATCATCTAATTCACATGATAGCTGATGCCCGTCCTCGCCTTCCTGGAGAGTCTGACTTTGATGTTGGCGCCGCACAGTGCTACAAAAGTGGTCTTTTGCATTATGATAGTTGATTTGCTTTCACTCGTTGTTGTCTGCAGCCGTACACCTATCAACTTGTCTTTCCGTGGTTGCGTTGTCATGGCGTGGTTGGAATGGTGCCCGGACCCTCAACAACCAGATGCCCAGTGGGTCAAGATCTTTCATCCAGGACCATGGACGCCACAAGAAGAACATGATGCTCCACCTCCTCCGCATACTTTTAGAGAATGGAGGGAGTTCTATGCTCCCAACCAGGACTCAGTCGAAGGGCAAGTCCAAGTCACTACGTGGTACAAACGAGACTGGGCCACAGAGGGCTATCGGAGAATCGCTGCCCCTCACGCTGGTCATGAATTTGATTCCATTTATCCCTCCGATCATCACAGCGTGGCCACGCAGTCTGCGGCATTGAGTATGTCGCCGGAGCTGTTAGACGCGATTCTCAGGTCCTCGGATGCGGCTGATTTCTCTACTGAAGAACTGACTCGTCTCCAGGAGGGGATTTCTCAACAACTGACGGCCCGCGCACGTCTGGCCTCCCATCCTCATCAGCCAGTACGTGCATCGCGTGGAAACACACCATCGGAGACGATTGGGGTCTCCGACCCCTACAGGCCCGTGAATCCTTCCGACAGCGGCCAAGACAAGATGAGTCCCGTCTTCGAGCTGACTGCAGACTAGACTTGCATGAGCAGCGCAGCGTACAAAATAAGGGTGGCCTCTACACTTGCATGATCTTGCTTGGCTGTTGTTTGAACATGGTTGTGCATGGTGCTTGTTCATCTACTAGCTGGATCGGAGCCCGCGACAATCCGTGCCTCTTGCCTCGACATGGACATCGATGATTCGAAGCAGCACCCATGGCTCGAATATTCGGTCTGGCATGATCAGGAGTGGGTGCGGATATACACTCCAGGACAACCTCAACGATGGCACCGCGGTGACGCCGTACCTGATCTACCTGAAAATTCTTTTCGTGAATGGCAGCGGGTGACGGATACCGATGCGCCAGTCCAGGCATGGGACATCCGTGACTGGCAACACCAAGCTCGGATTGAGTCCTTCGCAACTCACTATCCACATGATCTGACTCTTGGTCAAGTTCGAAACTCCGATGCCGTTCCAGTTGAGGAGACCTTCACCTATGCCACTCCGTTTTCTCATGGTGATCGCCCGGCTGCTTCGCAAATCGCTTCAGTCCTCTATGGCGACACTCGCAATGCTCGACGTGGTGATCTTTCGTTCCCGTCTTCTGAGCGGTTTAGGGCGGTGTCTCGCTCCCCTCGCCGTGGAGGATATTTTGGTCAACGATAGAGATTTGAGTTTGAGCATGTGATCTTCCTGCAGGAGAAAAGAGAAACCTCGCCCCTCGTAGAGGGGCGTGTGTGTGCGGAGTGGCAGAAAACCCTGCCACCAAAACCGTTTTCTGTTGCAGCAGGGGGTGGCAGCAGGGCCGAGAGTCTGCCACCAACGAAGCGGACCCTGGTGAAGCGGTTGGAGACGTCACCTGTGTACCTGCAATGGTTGTCAAAGTCCTTTTGGCCCGTTGTTTCTCTCGCTGTGTGTGCTTCATGTTGAACCTTGTAACGTTTTCGCTGCTAGACGGAAACCGAGTGACTGCAAGCCGAACCTACACCCACTCGAGACTCATCAGTTGTACTCGAGACTCATCAGTTGTACTCGAAAGATTAGCACTCTCCATCTGGAGAGTGTGTGTGTGTGTGTGTGTGTGTGTGTGTGTGTGTGTGTGTGTGTGTGTGTGTGTGTGTGTGTGTGTGTGTGTGTGTGTGTGTGTGTGTGTGTGTGTGTGTGTGTGTGTGTGTGTGGGGGGGGTGGGCGGGGGGTCCGATTTCTATGTTGACACAAACCCTCCTAGCGAATTTGTGTGTGTGTGTGAGGGCACGCCTACAAAGTTCGGGTTGTTTCAAGGACCAACCTGCCACTTTGTCTTTCTTTTGTTTTTTGTTTGGGGGGGGGTCCAGGTTTTGCCCACCTTTTTTCCGGCAGAACTATCCCGGCCCGAAGTTGGCGACGTCAAGCGACCCACGCGGCCGATGTCGAGTCCCAGGTTTGGACTGCGAGGCCTTCGGGCGGCGCTGCGCCGCGCCGCTGTACCTCAGCAGCTTGGCCAAGGGCCGCCTGGTGAGCCCCGACGGGGAGGCCGCGGGCTGGTGGGGGGTGGATGGGGTGGCTGGCTGGGTGGGGGGTGGGTGGTAAGTTGGGAAAGCCTGTTGCGGCTTTACCCCCCCTTTCTCGTTCTCTCCTCTTTTTGTTGTCAGGCCTGATTCGGGTGGAGGTTTGCTCTTCTTCATGTTTGGGATTTCAACATCTGTTTCGCCCCATGTTTTCAAGCTTTCCATTTTCAGGTTTGATCTGCGGGCTCGCATGTTGGACACGTCTCGTGTAGGTTTTTTTGTGTGCGACTCGCCAGGCCTGCTTCGTGCGGGCGGCGCGGCGCCTCGACGTGGCCTTCCTGGCGCCCATGGTCTCCAGCTTGCCGCTGGAGCAGATCGCCGCGGCTCAGGGCGAAGGCTGCGGGGCCGGGCCGTGCGTCGGTGTCGACCGACCGGTCGGGTTTTGGGGAGCCGAAGCGAAGGGGAGACGAGCCATGCAGGCGGAGCCTATAGCTCTGTTTTTGTTTGACCCATGGCCAGGTGGAAGGTTTGGCTCGTTGCCAGTGATTCAAGGGGCGGATTTTGTAGGGGATCTCAGAAAATATTTGACATTTTAGGGTTGATGAAATATAAAGAGAGATGAGGGGTAGGGGATTTCGGATCTTGGGTTGGACTGCGTGAGCTTGTTGCAGGGGTTTTGGCTTGGGCGTTGGAACGGTTGGGTGTGTGGGTTTTAACATTTTCTTTGGGGGTTGGGGGCTTGGGGGCTTGCTTGGGATGTGAGCTTTGGTAAAACGTTCCACTTTTCAGTTCAGACCACTCCCAAAACCATGGTCCATTGTGGGACATGGGGCGGATCTCACGTGAGACGTTCCAAGCCGATGGGGCTCAAAAACGAATCCCATGACCTCACTCTTGGAACACGCAGATTTCACCCCGGCTCATCGCGTCAGGGCTCGGCAAGGTAGGTCACCTGAAGCGAATGTGCTTGCTCCTGATGAATGCGGTCGGCTTTCCCCACCATGACGAATGTCGCCCATTGGTTTCCCCTTACAACCAACCAACAAGAACACACCCAAATAGTTGAACATCACTTTAGGGGAACGTGTTTCCCCCAATCATCCGCTTGATGGCTTCTTTGCCTCCAATTAAAACGGAACTGACACCCGCCAGTAATCTTGAACACCCATTTCTGCTCATGCTATTGGAGAACGCACAGCGACGTTTTCCCGTTTCAGGATAAAACAACAGGTGTCCTCATATGCCCTATTGTCAGCAGGAGTCGGTCATATTTCAGTTTCTTTCCACAACATCCTTAGGGCCTAAGTTGCAGGGGATGTGTTTTGGCTAGACTCGGCTGATGGGAAAATCAGAGAATCACCTCTCCAACTGGGGATGCGAAACGAGTGACATATACACCCTCCCTCTAATCATGGAACTGGACGATGGGGAGCTTCCCCAAAAACACAGTTCCAAAAGCCGTCTATCCATTGGTACACAGAGTAATGGTTTTCCCTTTAGTTTCCCTTTAAGACTTTAAGACCAACCCCAAAAGGGTGTCTTCTGTCGAAAGAAGACACACTGGTAGAACCCTTCGGCGAGGTTTGGTCTTCCAGCTCTATCTCTTCACCGACGAGGAAGAGAGCTTTGCAGCTCTCGCAAGGGCCATCGAGCTGCTCGGGCGAATGCGCAGACGAGAGGCTGCGAGTTGGTACCGGGGGGTCCTTGTGAGTTTGGGGGTTGATCAACATTCCGTTCGGCCCCCAAATGGCCATGGGTAACTTTTCCCGTTTAGTAGCGGAACATATTATCTTTTTTGTGGTTTTCCCCAATAGTCATCCCATGTAAAGGACCTTCAACCCCCAGTTGGAAACCAACTATCCAAGAACCGGTCCCAAACGACAAATCCTAGCCAGCCAACCAGCCAGCGTCCAAGCTACGAGTCCAAACCAAGAGGGAAGCTGATGGCCGGCTGATGGATCCGGAAGCAGGTCCCAAGCATAGGTGCCCTTTTTAGGTCAGTTTGGATAGAAATAGATGGGTCCCATGTTAATTTGTAGGGCATAATTCAAATTGGTCTGATTTGATCTGTGGTTGATTTTAAACTTTCCCGTTTGATTCACGCTGGGTTTGATACTTGTCAAAAAAGGTATCTGTGTTTTTGGGGCAACCCCCTTTTGGTTGGTGTTGAAAGGAAAACAGAAAGGAAACCCTTGCTGGGGGGCTCCGTGTCTCAGCCATGACAAAGTGAGGGCCAACCTATATGTATGGTACGTGCAAGCGGTCAATTAGCAATGGTAGGCTGCTCGAAGGTCAACATGTGACCCCGTTCGCTCCGCCTAAGAAATGAGCAGAGCGATGGGCGAGAACCCTCGATAACTCCCAAAAGAATCCAACAACCCTTGTACAACTTGCATGGGCCATTCGGATTTTGAGACGAGGCTGAAGGCTTCTGCGGTGGTCATCACCGTGGACGCGAACGCTCCGAGGAAGGGGTCCTTTCACCGCGCCACCACGCAGGACGCATGCGCTCGCGCTCGCGCGCTCGCTCGGGTTTCTTTCGGCCGTGTTAAAAATGCCAAGGTGGATCACAGAAGAACCAGATATTTCATTTAGATTGAGAATACGTTTTATTTACCCCTGTTGGTTTTAAAGGGAATCGGTCACTTTTGGATTTGGTTGTTAGAACGCATCCCAGGGAACTTCAGCAAATGGAGGTTATGGAATACCCGGAGTGGCTGGCCACATGACTTGAACCTATGCGCAAGCAAATGCTAAACCCAGCGTTGGGAGAATAAGCCGCAGGTGGTGGATTTCCCCGGAAAGGTTCCAGTTGAGCCACAATAAAAAACCTGGGTAGTGAGTGGGGGACAGTCCAATGGCTGTTTGTGTTCTAACGGGTGGGTTTTGGGTAAAGGTCTGAAATGCAGGTTTTTGTCACTCAGTGGTTGTCTTCCCCGAGGTAGACTCAAACCCAGAGGTCGAGTACCCGAAAACCGAGCGGAACCTGTGGGTTTAAGTGTAGCTTGGGGGTCATCCCACTCGTTTCCAGGACCATGGCGTTAAACCGGAATGATGGAAGCCGCCTTGTTGCGACGCCCTATGTTGGAGCACGCTGATTGGGTCTACGTTTTCTTTTCTAAACATGTTGGTTCCCAACCACCTCCATTCATTGAGTTGGGAAGGGTGACTCGAAGGCCACTGAACCATTGGTTAGGTGATTGTTTGCAGGTTTTGGGTGGTTGATGGCCTGCTGATTGCACAGATCTCAGATCTCCTCATATCGCTCCTCACCTTTTGGGCTCATAAAGTGAGCTTCCTTTTGATGGGGTGATGTTGGACACATAGTGGGAAATAAGTGGAAGCCAAGAGAGCTATTTTATTGAATTCCCCTGGCTTGAACCATAAAATCGGTCTGTCTCCAATTTTGAATGCCCAGCGGATATCCGCACCAATTTATGGCAAGGTGGTCCCTTACTACCTTTCGTGTACCCAAGTTTTGATTGTTGCTCACCCAAATGTGTGTGTGTGTGTGTGCCTCTTGAGAGTGCCCCGTTTTCAGCCTGGCTTAAAGGAAAATCCAAAACAAAAAGTGTTTTTTTCTCCGCTTTTGGCTTCTTGGCTTCTTGGCTTCTTGGCTTTTTGGCTTTGGCTTTTCGCATCCTTTGCATTTCCCAGTTCCTCTCCGGCAGGTGGCGTTTTGGCTTTTGCGGCTTTCGCTGGTTTATGCGGCTCTTGGTGGCTTTGGCTCTGCTTTCCCAGTTCCTCTCCGGGCTTCTTGGCTTTTTGCACACTTTTTGGATTTTTGTCAGAGGATTTAAATGCACCCCTATTTGAATCACTTTTTTGAGCATCCAATTTCGCGAGAAAATGCTGTAAAATACGACAGTTTATGTCATTTATGTATGTATGTATGTATGTCTCTGTACGTATGCCCGTCTGCGAACATCATAGGGGGAGTCACCCCCGCCAACCCCCCCCCCCCCTCGCTGTTTTCTTACATTCTACCGCACCCTTTCTTGAATCCTTGCACCCCTAATTGAATCATCACTTTTCCGAACATCATGGAAAGGGCTGCCGCCCCCCCAACCCCCCCGCTACTTTTTAGATTTCATTACAGGGATTGAATTGCACCCTATTTGAGTCATCATTTTTTCGACCCCGTCAACCCTCCTGCTACTTTTTAGTTGTTTTTTTAAACCCACGATTTGTTGGTGATGCTGGAGATGTTGGTTGGAGTCATTTTCGCGAGACAAATACGACATTTTACTGGCCAAGACGAAAACAAAATAAGACAAAAAAAAGAAACGAAAAAGAACATCCCAAAATAAATCCGCACCTAAACAGAAATACCAAAATCCATGTTTAGAGTCCAACTCCTATTTGCATGCATCCCACCTCGGGACACTTTGTTGGACCCTGGCTTCACACGCGTCATACTCAACATTGAGGGGACTCAAAATGATCTTTTTGGGGTGTTGTCCCTACTGTGGATGGACAAACTCCTGTGCCGCTTGGTTGAAGGCATTGTTGGTATTTACCTTGGGATCATCAAATTCCGGGGTTTCTGCACGGTGGCGCGAGAAGCGGATTGCGCAACCGTCCACCGCAGTTTTTTTTTTTGGGGGGGGGCGGGCCTCTTCTGAGCTTTTTTCAGCCCATTCGCTGGGCTGGTAGGCCACCGGGGTCTTCCCCTCCCCGAAGCTGGACTGGCGGAAGCTGCTGGAGTTGAGGCGCCGCATGCCTAGCGACCTGCCCTGGCGCCCCGGAACAACCCGAAGGAAGCTGTTGGAAGCTTCACCCCCGGATGCCTGAACTCGTTGATCCCCCTCTCCGTCTCATCCCCTAGTTGATGCCCGGCAGCTGCCCTCAGTTGTCGTTTTTCTTTCGCAGGGAAATTGACCTGTATGCTGAAAAAAGGGAAGCGTCCCGGTTAATGGGCACCCCGGATGAATAAACCTGGGCACTATTAAAGTGACGGGTTTGTCTATCCGTGGTCATCACGCTCCGCTTTTCGTTAATGACTTGTGCCACACGTGGGAATCGAGGTATTTGAAGGGCGTGCAGTGCGCAGAGGATGCTCTACAGGCGACTCTCGGGGTGGATGTGAGGTCCTTTGGGCGGTGGGAGAGTGAAGGTCAGGGCGAGGGAGGAACGCAGGGAAAGAAGAGGCTGGAGCAGGTGTGGATGATCATTCTTGGACCATTGAGCCAGGGGATTCTGAGTTGCGTTAAGTTATTTCCCGAGATTTGTTGGGCCTTTACACTTTGGAACATCATGCGGTCGTAAACCAAGACAGTGGGTGCCTTTTTCTTGACCCACTGGTCCCCCTGTAATGGACCCAGAGGCACACATGAGACTGGCAAGTCCTTGTTCCTCTGCTCGGGGTTGGGAACCAATTCAAGGGAACTGTGGGCAAGCATAAGGATGCCGATTGAAGCCATGGCCACCGCAGGAGTTTTGACCTCTTGTCCCAGGCCGCCACAGTGGGCGTGACCGGCATCATCGTGTCGAACCACGGGGGCCGTGCTTGTGGGGATGCCATCGGCTCGTTGGAGGCGACGTGCCATGACGTGCCGTCTCGGGTTGCCAAGTGCCGCGCTACGCAAACTCAAAGCAAACCAGTTGCGACTTCAAATGGACGAACCCCGCGCCCGGCACCAGTTGAGATTGGTGGCTTATCGCAGTATTCAAATCGAGTTTCATCCATCCCAAGTGGTGCAGGATTGTGTCCATCCGTAGTGGGGGGTGCCTCTTTTGAGAGTACCTCTGATGGGGTTTGTCCGGAGGGCTTGGCTTCTCCTCCATTTTTACTAAACGCGAACCAGAAGTTTCGTATTTTTTCCTCGGATTGACAAGTGAGGCCAGTTGGCCGTTTCCCTTTTTGGGGAAAGACGTAATCCACTTGCTGAACTGATGATCGCTGAAGTCATCCCTGAGTTCCAGTGGTATGAATAGCATGCAATGTTGGTGAAGATCCCTGCGACCTTCAAGCGTGGTTGAAATGAAGCGCAGCGAAGGAACTTTCCCTTTTTTCAATGCGACCATCCTTGGCCCCTGTGAACCAATTCCCGGATCCCTGTTTGACATGTGGGGGTCTAAGCCTGACAACCAACTGGAGCTTTGAACAAAAACAACGCCCCTTGCTGGTGGTTGATCCACTGTTTACTGGTGGTGTTGGTGGTCTAGCCCCGGTACAGCGTCTATCCACCCCAACCGGCGGATTCTGTCCATCCGCTTTCCTGCGCAGGCCTTGGAGGAGGTGTGCTGCGCTTTGCGCCGTGCAGGGCTTGAGGCCAGGGAGGGATCCCATGGGATGGCCTACAAATTGCAATGATTTACCCTCACTTGCCATGATTTTGGGGTGCTTACTTCGCTTGCAATCTTGAGGGCGTTCACCGTATCCATTTCCGCACCCTGAATGAACCGCTGCTTCGTCTATCATCTTGGTTTGGATAGGCGGTTCGCAGGTGGGGTGGTGTCCTGTTCAACAAGAAACGCTCCGCAGAAATACAAACCAAAAGGGGAACCAAAAGCACAAAGGACAACCAGCAATTGATGTCCTCTGCGCCGTCCCTTCAAACCGACCTGAAAAGGGCACCCTGACAAAAGCATACACCCAAATAGGGGATTATTTGAGGTGGTTTGAAAGGGACACCAAAAGGAAACCTTGCATTGTTGAGCCTCTAGTTTTTGAAGCACCCATATGCTTTGTTGCAACTTATGAGATCCCCCCAGCCCCGCGTTCAAACCGACATCACCCCAGAGGAAGCTCCCTGACACAACTAGCCGACCAAGTGGCGCCAGAAAGGAGTGACGTGTTTAGCGATCGGAGGGTGACTGAAAGGAACCCTAACAGGAACCCTTCCCTTCAGAGCTTCCCTTGGTGACCGTTATGCCATGAGAACTCAGACTTTTGGCGCCAGCGTCGAATGGTACCTTCGCTCCCCCTGCGAAGGTAGCCTTCACAGCACCAAAAACAAGCGGTCCCAGGTGAAACACCCAACAGCAGCTCAAAAAAGGTGCCCCCCCCACTCCCCAAGAGCTCAGGTGGAGGTCTACTTCGACAGCGGGTTGCGCAGCGGCCGCGACGTGCTGAAGGCTTTGTGCTTGGGCGCGCGCGCCGTTGGGTTGGGGCGGCCCTACTACTGGGCTGCAGCGGTGGACGGCGACCGAGGCGCGTGGTCTTCGCATCTTTTCGTTTCTTTTTCCTCGTGCCTTTCGGGGTCGCGAACACCAAGGAGTGCAGCTTTCCTTTTTGTGATGTGGGTCGGGGAGAAGTCAATGCAAGAGTGCTAGCACCGGGACTGAACTTCGGGAGGGGACAACATGCTTTCTGTTGGGCGGTACAGGGAGGCATCAGCCCAAAGCAAACGAACCGATCTCACGCACCTCGAATTTGAGACCGGAAATTCCGGATTTGCTCACCGAACAGTTTGCCCCTCTTGTGGTGAGAGGGAACATACCAACGACGGATCTTAAACAACTAGAACTAGTTATTTATGTCCAACCACCTTCTAGTTTTGGTGCCAAAAAAAGAAACGAGTTTAGCCGACAACCCTGGAGTCCAACAAGCAGCTCGATTTTCATGACGAGGGAGGATTTCCCTATCGTTGGAACGATATTCTCCAGTGCCACTACTAGAACTTATTACTAGTATTAGTACTACAACAACAAATTCCACTGCTCTGACTACTTCTACTACTGCTACTACTGCTACTACTGCTACGACTGCTACGACTGCTACTACTACTACTACTACTACTACTACTACTACTACTCTTACTACTCCTACTACTACTACTACTCCTCCCACTACTACTTCTTCTACTGCTACTAGTGCTGCTAACTAGTGTTACTACTACTACTACTACTACTACTACTACTACTACTACTGCTCCTACTACTACTACTACTACTACTACTACTACTACTACTACTACTACTACTACTACTACTACTAGTACTCCTGCCACTACTACTACTACTACTCCCCGCAGCACGTGTGGTTCGCCAGAACCACTTTGTTGCACTTTCTGGTCTCTGTCCAGTGTTTGGCTTTTCTTGCTCCATTTAGGGTGCAGGTTTAGGGTTTAACTTGCCCTTAAACCCTTGCGTTTGGGGCTGAGCTTTGGTGAGTTGAACTTGCCCTCAAACCCTGCCAAGGGCAGACCGTTCGATATCCGGCGCAGGTGCTAAGCCAGTGGCAGGCGCAAGGGCATCTGAGCGCGTGAGGCTCCCGGAAGAGAGCCTCCGGGCAAACCACACGTGCTGGCCGTACTACTACTACTACTACTACTACTACTACTACTACTACTACTACTATTACTACTACTAGTACTAGTACTCCATCTTCATTCGTGCATAATTATTGTTCCTGTTTGTGCGCTTCGATTAATTCGTTTGCGAAAGACTGCTGCTGTTTCAGCGTGTCATGCAGGTCTGCATGTACACTACCTCCATCTGACGTTGCCGCGCTAGTAACTTCTTCTTTTCGGTTCAGTTTTTCTTTCTTTTGAACATGTAAAGCGTCTTTACCATCAAATTGACGATCATATTGATTTAATCTGTGTCTTGTTACATTTTCAATTGACAACCGGCTCTCATCTTCCTAACGGTTGTTTCAAGAGTCTTTTTCATAAGACGGTCGTAAATGCAACTGAGTTTCTTAAACCATTTCTGCTAAAGGTTTGTGTCTTGCTGTGAGTTGTTCCTTTGTCTGTGTTCCGTGTGGTGTGCATGTATTATTTCTTATCTTGTTTATTCCGTCTAATTTCTTTCTGTAACTTTCGGTTCTGTTGCTTTCAATGAAATCATTTCTTTATGTTTTAATGCTCCGTGCGATTGTTTCGCTTCCAGTGTGTCCTTCATGCGCGGGGCGCTGCCCCATAAGCCGCCACTGTCATAACACGTTTCCACTTGTGGCGCCCTTTTAAAATCAACATGTCTATGATTTCTCGTAGGCATTGCGAAAACATTGATAAAGTTAAGTTGTTTGCTTTATCTGGTGTATCTTGCCGTGAGTTTCTCATTTGTTTTTCTAACCACTTCTTGTTTGATGTCATTTTCAATCTCTTCTTTCACTTCTGGTCTTGTCTTTCTAATGTTGTTGTGGTTTAACGGGAAATGCTTCTGTTGGGGCTGCTTTACATTTCTTGGGGTGTGAGCAGCGAAGCGATTTGGCACTGGCTTTCTTTGAGCACTGTGTGCAGTCTAACCTGCCAATTCAACTTCTTTCTTTGTCCTTTGTAGTGCTTTTGCTTTTGGTCCAGGTTTAACTTCTTCTGTTGTGTGTTCTTCATTAACAGTTTCATTTTGTCCAACCACTTTAGCATGAAAGGGTGTTTCATCCGGTTTAGTTTCATAAGTAACATCTACCGCCTCAATACTTGTCATACAACGCATTCTGCATTTTCTAGTGGAAATGTGCAGAAGGTATTCAAAGCTTTGAACACTTGAATTTTGATCTACGCAGTTCATTGATGAAATCTTTGTTTCTTTCATAGCGTTCTGGTCTTTGCCGTTTAATTTTATCCTTGTTTTTTTCCCATGTATTCCCTTTTGCGTTCCTTGACGTTTTCCTTGTTCTGATTGTAACTGTCTCTTCTTGTTTGGTTAATTTTTTCTCTGTTCAGTTCATGATATGTTTGCTTTTTCATGCCTTACATCTCTGTGGTCAATCCTGTTATCGGCACTCGTTTTCTCTAACGCATCGCCCTTCTCTTGCTCTTAGTTCTTCTCTTTTCTTACATGCTTAGGGTTTTCTACCATGAAATAAGCTATACTTCGAAATATGTCTATGTTTGCTTTTCCATCTTTGTATTTCCTGTAGACTGACCTATGTTGAACCATCCTTTTGACTAGACATAACACTTCCCGTTGATTTTACCATTAGTATAGGTATTCTCCATTACATATACACAGACTTATACCTTTCTATGTTGGCTGGTTGGTGGTTGGTTCCTGCACTGCTTCAGGGTGTGACCCAAATAACGGTAAACAATGTTGAACAATGACACGGTTGGATGGCGCAGGATTGTCGTCAATTGCACGGCTGGGCTTGTGTGCCTCCAAACACCCAATATGAGGTTTCACAAAGCCACTTTTGTTAGCGAGTAGTAGTAGTAGCCTGAACTGTTGTAACGGGCTCGTTGTCAAGCAGTTCTTAAGTTACGTTTTGATATGCAAGATATTCGACCATTAATGCCACGGGTACGAGTACCACCAGCATGCCCACCGCGCGTTTTTGACGTTCAGAAGTTTGAAAATCGGGCGCAGCTACTAGTATTTCTATTATTGCGACTAGCCTGGGTCCTATAAATGGATTCCTTACAAGGCCCCTAGCAACCGCTCGCTAATGATGCAAATCTTCAGCAATCCCTAGTAGCTCGGCAGCACTCATAAACCTTGAACAAACTCCTTGTAACCTGCTGCAAACCCTCAGCAAACCTGTGCTAGCTTCCAACCAATAAACCTTCGGTAACCTCAATCAATCCCTTAGAAATCCTTTAGACCCTTGGACACAGTAAAAGAACACCCTTAGTAGGCCCCGGTTGCTTTCCGCTCGGAAAAGTCAGTTTCGCCCTCTGGCGCCTTGTTCTCGAGGCATCGTGGCTTTGGTGGAGATGCTCTCAGCGGAGCTCCACCACGCCATGGCGCAGATCGGGGCGCCGTCGCTGAAAGCGCTGGGGCCCCACTTCCTGCGCCCTGTGCCGGCGGTTCCGGCGCCGGCGCTGTGAGTCTCTTGATCCGAATGGGTTCCAACAAACGGGTGGCAAAATCGGATGCGAAAATCACGTTGGCCTTAACCCGTTTGTTAGACCCTTCCGAATGTTGCGCGAGTTGCAAAAGTGGATTGGCGCGACCTTCTGCGAGTCGGCGGTAGGCGAAAAGAGCAGCAGCTTGCTCTCAGAAACCAGGTGCAGGAAATTCGAGCAGTCCAACCCTGGTTGCGGATGAGAAGATGGGTTTCCTTTTTTTGTGTGGCTGGTTCTGAAATACCAAGGGGTTGAGCTTGGTCAGATGGTCAGCAAATCAAGGGGATCCATTGATTTGGCGCACCTTATGAAGCTTAGGCTTTGTTTGAAAGTAGGGGAACCCCCAAAATGAGTTGATTTCCTTGGTTTCCAGTTAAAACCAACCTTTTTGGTTTCCCTCAGAAAGAGACAGACCCATCTAAACCCCACAGCAATTCGCTGCAATCCTTCAAGTTAGACCACGGTTCTTGATTGGTTTCGACAGGACTCCAACCTGATTCACCTTTGGCCAACTTGACTCGCCCCTCGAAGGGATTCGGTTAGCCTGAAACCCATGGAGATGATGCTTTCTTTTGTGCAGAGCAAGTTGTGGTTCAGAGGGAATCCCCCGCCTATGCCTTGTTTAAACTGTTTCTTTTGTCACGTGTCTCTAAAAAAAAAGCGCCCTGGGAGCTGTTAGGCCATTTGTAGCACTTTGCGAGTAAGTCAACCACAAATGATGGACGTTTGTAGGTCTTCCCTTGTTCTCTACTTGCGATATTTAGGGCATCCACCCTAGGGTTCCTGGACTCCTTGTGCTCGCGGCGCGAGCCCCGAGCAGCGCCAGGAGGCCAACTTCCGGAGCCTCACCAAGGATGAGCTCTGGAAGGCTTCATTCAGTTTTGGGTTTTGGGTGCGGAACTCACATCCCGAGTGGGCCTTGAGGCGCTTTTTGGCTTTGGATCATTTTAGTAAACAAAACGTCGTGAGACTTGTGTGGTTTGCTCCACTCAGGAACTGAGAACTGAGGGACGGGTCCGACACGATGCGTTTGGGATTGTACGGGTTGGAATCGCCGCCCTGTCTTGTGTGGTTTTACCATCAACTCTTGGGTTGGTTTGAAGTGAGCAGGACATGGCCATGTTTACTACAGAGCAACTGGCAAAAAGGGGCCAGTTTGGCAGGTGGAACCGAGCACGAGCCAGCCCTATTTCCCCCTTGGGCTGTATTAACATAGCATGGTGGGTGGATTTCAAGTAAGTGTCCTCATGGTGTGAGGTTCGCTGGATCCATCCGGTGTTGGCCGCCCAGAAAGCCACCTGGGATTTGCTGGGTGTAAGTTGGAGGCACGACTTGGAGACTTGGAGCCGGTTTTTTAGCGGAAGCGGGGCCTTGAGAGGCGGAAGTTCTCCAAAGCGGATGTACTCCGCCAGAAATTAGACACATGAAGGTCTTCGGTGTTCATCTGCAGGGGAGATTTGTGGACTATCCCTTGTTAGTGTAGGCTTTAACTTGGGCCATGTTTTTTTTCCAGCTGTTGGATGGCTGAGCAAATGGTTTTGCGACATATGGCGAACACAAGAGGCTTGACGGTTCGATGGCCCCTCCAGGAGGGGCTCAGCCTGGGATTTTTAGCTTGGGTTCAGAAAGAGCGTCAAACAGGAATCAATCACTTTTCACTTTTCGGCGATTTGTTCCAAGTCGAAGGGACACTCCTGATTGCAATGAAACGGAGCTGGCTGTTTTTCAGGGGGTGAAAGGGACACCAACCAGCTTCTATTGCCCCTGACAACCAAGTTCTCGTAGAACTTTGGGGCAGGCAGAATCGCGCAAACTGGAATGGGGGGAGTAGTCCATTTTCTGTGATACCAAGAACCGAGCGACAAAGTAGTCATAGTTTATGACATGGCGATGGACCGACGTTGGTACGGTGGATTCCAACTCAATATGGCAAGTAAAGGAAGCAAAGAAGACTTTGCTTTTGCAGTCGCAGGTGATTTTTAAAGGTCAGCTTGGTTAAAATTAGATGGGTTCCGCTGGTTTAGAATGATTTCATGCTCCATTTGCCAGGCAACCCCATCTATTTGTCCAAGAGGTCACCTAGGTTCCCTGTTGTCGTGTGGTTGCTTGCCTGCATTTTTTTGGATCCTTTGGATCCACCGAAGGCCTTCTTTGCCCAGAGGGAGCGGTACAAGGTGCGGGAGCCGATGTGCGGCTCCCTGGCCGAGGCGGGTGGCCGGGCAAACGAATCCTTGGACCTTGCTCGTTGAAGATCGCCCTTAGCGATCTTTCACCGCAGGGTACCCTCCCTCCCAACATGGCAACTGACAGGGGGCCCCTTCAAAAGGAATTTGATCTTCCAGGTACCTCCCCACAGGTGCCATGTTAGTTGGAGGATTCGTAGGCTTTTTTTTGTGGATGGTTGCGGTTCGCAGGGTAAGCAAAATATGACCATAGGGACGCCCTCTAAGCTTCCAGTGGTTTGTGATTGATTTACTTGCAATACCGTGGATGGTTGCGAAATCCATTTCGCACCACCGTTCAGAGACCATGGTTGAAACTATGGTTTGTTACGGTATTTTCAGGAGACTCATCATTCCAGGGTTTCTTAAATAGGTGATGCAGGATTTTCGTCCATCCACAGTATGACAAAGTACCCGTAGGAGTGTTTCTCAAAATAGTGGGCCGCTGAAAATGGTGAGTTTTCTCTTGGCATCCCGTTAGATTCCAACCAACAGGGGGTTCACCAAAAGCATTAACTTGTAGTTTAGGGTGAACTAAGAATGAAACAGAATCTGAAGCTTGTTTTCCGCGTATACCAAATGTGGGCCAACTTTGGGTTGCAACCCTCTACAACTACTCTTTGATTCTGCTTGCTCTGATAGGGTGGCTGCTCTTGATATTGCCAGCAGATCAACCACAAATCATTGGCACTTACAACGTTTACCTTATTTAGGGCATCCACCGCATTCCCAAGACTACAAGAGCACAAACAAAGAACTGCGGAGTTCTCGGCAGGAGCTGCAGAGGAAGGAGGACCAGGTCGACTGGGACCTGATCATGGAGGATTGGGTTTGCCGAGTGGGATATGGAGCTGTGGGTGTCGTAGCTTCCCTCAAAAGTTCCAACTTGAACAACCACATGGGAACCTTGTCTTTTTTAAGGTTGGACCCCCAAAATGGTGGGTTTTCCTGTTAGTTGCCATGAAAAGCACCACCCAAAAAGGGGTACCCTCCTAAAAAAAACAGACACACCCACATCAAGGGTGCCAACTCCAAAACGTGCACCCATTCGAGTGGACATGACATTGTTCACACCTATGCCTCAAAACACCTTGGGGCTTGTCTATTTTGGCCTGTTGGGCTGGTTCTAAGGGACAACAATTAGGGCCCGTCCATGTTGGGGGGTCTTGAGACAAACCTTTTTCTTGGTGATGCTGACAGATCCCCTGATCAGGGGTGCGACAGCCACCATGACAGTGACCTTCGAATAAGGAGCCTTGAGAAGTGCGCATGTTTGTTTGGTTTGGATTCTCAAAACTACTTGAAGGGAGGGGATGGCCCATTCACATGCATATGTCCCTTGAATGGACCTAGTTCGTTGACCTTTCCTCACATGGCTTGCTGTCTGCTTTGCCTTTTTTCTGTTTGCTATTCCTAATTTGCAGGAAGATGTTTGAGCAGGTTCGTCCTTCGCTCTTTGCTTTTCACTCAAGAGATTGGGGCTGTCCCAATCCAAACCGTGGTCCGGGCCTGCACCATCCCTTGTGCTCGGAATCCCTCTGCTTGCCAGGGCTTAACAGATCCCATGAAGAGTCTCACGCTGGTTTTGTCACGCTGGGGACTTGAGAGGTTCAAGTGGAGGGCAGCCTAGATCTTCATGGGAACTTATGGGTTGCAACCTTGTGATACACAAACTCCTCGGCTCAAGTTCTCCACCCTGCATTCTTCGGCTAGAGGGATTTGGTTTAGTAGCAGCTTTTGAGGGCAGAAAGGGCCGATTTCCCACAGGCTGCGTGTGAGGGATCTTTGTGAGGGGGTTGAGGGATCTTTGTGGGGGTGTTTCCTTGGTCTCTCCTTGGCTTGTCGGAAAGAACCAATTTGTTACACCCTCTGTTGGAACACCCGCCCAAAAGAGCGCATCCTGGATTGCGTCCCGTTGTTTAATTCAGCATCGCTCCATTCTCGCTTGCTCTTGCTCTGTGGTATGACCGAATGACGATTTCCCTACTAACTTGTGACAACTTTAGGTGCTTTTTGCAGGTCAGCTTGACACACCTTCAGTTGGAGGGAAGCTGAAACCTAGAATGAATCCCTTCCCATTTGGTGGTTGGAAGGGAGCCGTTACGGAGTTGGGGTTGTACATGTTTTGCCTTTAAAGACGGGGCGTTTTCACCTTCACTCAGGTAGTCCTCAGTTGAACTCCTGCTTCTTGTAGAGGGTAAATCGGAAACTACCCCCCAACCACCAAACCACCAATGGAAATCACCAATCCAAACCACCAATTCACTGCTTGACCAAACGAAACATCTCAGTTCCTCTTTGAGGCCCTTGGGAGTGACCAAGGGGCACCCCTTTCGACTGGTAGGCCTTCAACGTGCTGTCCGAGCCGCAGGCCGCGCCGGGAAAAAATAAATAAACACCTCCGAGCCTTCGTGACGGTGGATGCCCCTAAAATAAGTAAGGGAACAAGGAGACCCTGGGTTTCTATCGTTTTGGGATTAAGTTATGGGTAGTCCATTTTTGTTTGGAATCTTTTGGATTATATACCCTAAAAAGTGTTATGGGGTTTCGAGCTCACCGGGAGAAGGCCCGTCCCTGACTTGGGATTCCTTCTTTTTTTTCCGGGTATTGGCTTTGTAGAAAGCATCGTGGCTCAGGTTGCTGGCGCCTAGTGAAACGTCGGTTTGATGCGCCTCGCTCCTCGAGTTGCCGTGCAAGAAGCCTTTCCACCCGCGTTCTGCCGCTACAAGAACCGGGCTCGAAGATTTGCCCATGAGTCTCCATACCAAAGTTAGTTGTGGAGACTGACAGTAGGCAACATACTGGTATGGAGTCTGTCTTCGGTTGAACAGGTTCCAAGTTTTTGGTGCAAACCAGCCCATGCTTATGACCCTCCTGTCCACTGTCACAGAACCCACCAGACAAATCCCTTTGGAAGAGCCCCAAGAAGGCGCGCCACCTTCGTGGACGGGAGGAGAGTTTTAAAGCCGAAGGGCACAGTTGTATCCGGCCTCCTCTCTGCACCTTAGCTTCGAGGCATTCCGAGCCTCAAGCAGAGCGCATCCCATGGACGCTGCGGAGGGGATAGGTGCCCTTTGTTTGTGGGTTTTACAGGAAAACCGAAAGGAACATGAAAATCCTGATTTGGGGCGGCCCCTAACAGCAGATACTCCCAGGTATTCTTTGAACTGTCTCCAATCTTCACCCAGCCCTTTCCGCTTTCAGGCGCGGGCTGAGTATGAGGAGCGGAACTTGGCGTCTCACGCGCAGCCGGGGCCTTGGGGCCTTGGCTCGGGCCCTTAATCCCAGCCGGGAGTTTGGGGGGCGGCCAAATAAGCAGCGCAGCAACAACTGGGGTGGTCAGGACCTGAAGTTTTCGTATACATGAGCCACCAGGTGCAAGCCCTTGGCCAAATATTGGATCTCTGGCGCAGCTTGAAAGGCGTTGGGAGAATCTTGAGCTCAATTTGTCCCCATGCATTGTGATAAAATTGTTGATCTAGCGGCCTGTCTAATTGTCTCTCCGTTTGTTTGTCTCAGAATTGTATTTTCTCAGTTTAGTTCGTCGCCAGATATTTCTTGGACACGTTGAGATACTCCAGCCTGATGAACCTTTTCAACAAGCTCAGCTTTCAGAGGAACCAGCAGGTTTTAGCAAGCTGAAACTGGTTTGCGTTACAAACCCGGACCAACACAGAACCTGCCCGTGATCTTTTGTATCATTTGGGAACAAAGTGGGGCATGTGGCTGCTTACTAGAAAGGCCAATGGCTTGGGATGATGAAAATTGCTTCTAGTTCAGTTTAGATGAAGACTATCATGACTCGCAAAGAAGGCTAGGTTTGTCAGGGCGCCTTAAAAGATACATCTTGCCCATTTGAAGCATGTCTTTTTCCACCAAAATACAGGGACGCCACCATTTACAAGGCACTGCTCAGGTGTATGCATCCGGATCCCCGTTTGTTCTCCGCTCGCTTCTCACCGGCTTGGTGGTTTGGATCCAAGGGTTTCGTTCCATGCGGTGTCAGGAACTGCTCTCTGAAAAGCCACCAAGCCCAAGCGACCAAGGAAGGGTTCGCTGACTGGCAATGACTGTGCCCTCCAAAGAGAAACCTCAACACATGGTTTCATCCACGCGCCTTTCGACGCTTTCTTTTTGGATCAGCATCCACAGGTCCCTGCAAAAAAACTCTCCGAGCGGAACACCCGGGACGTTTCGTTGGAGTCGTGGGAAGGTCCGTAAGCCCCGCGGACCTGGGCGCGGAGCGCCGCCGAGGCATCAGCTTCTGGGCCTCCGGGCCGGGGCCCGCAGCGGCGGCCACGTCGATCCCGGGCTAGACGTTGGGGAGCCGACCCGGACGTTGGAACATGGCCTATGGCTCCGAACCACAGCTGCGGTGTCAACCTGCCATAAGCTCTTTTCTTGAAGCACAAGAGAGCCCCGGAAAGGGAGCAAGTTGCTCTGTAAACACTATCTTTCAGGCGAGAGTCGATGCTTTGCGGGAAGCTCATTCGGCAAGCAAACATGTGCATTCTTTCGGTTGCAAACCACTCAGGAAGTGAGGTTGAGAAACTGTCCTCTGGGGGACACCTGCGCAATTTTGGCCTTGCCTTTTTTGAGGGTACCTTCCTTTGTCTTTTCCTTTGTTTTCTTTTTTTTCTTTGGGGGGGGGGAGGGGGGAGGGGGGGGGTTAAAGGGAAACCAACATCAGAACCACTATTTTGTGGGGGTGCTCTATTTTGCGACTCCATGAAGACTACGCGCTTTTCTTCGTTTTCCGGGTCCGAGGTGATGCATGAGGCAAGGATGAGAGAGGAGGAGGAGCTGCGCACCAAGCAGGAGCGACATGAGTTGAGGTGGGTATGCGTCGAAATCGGAGGACCCAAAAGGGGTTGTGGCTGTCCCGTCACTTTCTCTTTGAACCAGCCTGAAGAGGGTAGCCCCGCAACCTTCTCAGCCTCTCAATTGCACTCTGGCTTTTTGACATCAGAGGCTCGTACCTGGGCTTGGGTACCTCGGGGTTCGGCACCAGCTCTAAACTGGGATTTGGCCAAATCCCTTGCCACCAGTTCCCGACTTAGCAACTCTAGCGTGAGGCCCTTGTGCTCAGATAGTGTTTCCGGGCAAGAAAGAAGCGGCACCACGGAGACGGGTTGCGACGTGTGATGAAGGTTTCTTTCATAGGAGTCCCTCCGAACAGGAGAACGGCTCCGCATGTTGTCAAGTTTACTTTTGGATGTGCTAGGGCATCCCTAATTTCGGTTGGTGAAGTAGCCTCCCAACTGCTTAACCATCCACCTCTGCACCCACTCCGCGCCGTCCAGGTAGGTCCTTTCTTCGTATGCATCTCAGGCTCTGCTGGTCTCTGTTGGTAAAAGGAGCATCAAGTATATCCAGCTGGCCTTGTGATTTTTTGTTCACCAGGCTGAGTCGGTTCGGTCGGAGTTTGTGGAGTCTTTGGTTCATTTGGGAGGGCTCCACTAAGACAAATCCCCAAAGCCGGGCAAACGTCGTAATTTTTTTCTCGGGGGCGCACGTAAGTTTCACTGGCTGAGTGGAAGGAAGCGGCAGCCGCAGAGGTTCAGGAATGAGCTGCGCTAGCTCTCGGCTTGAACGACGAAACGGAAGCGTGCCTGAACTGCTGAATCTAAGACTGGCTAAAGCTTGTGGCAGATTCATTTACCCAAGGCAACCAAGAAGTGGGCAAACTTGTTCTTTTCAACCAAGGCAAGACACTGACCCGCGTACAAGTGTGGGGCTCAGGGTTGTCCTGACAAAGCTACCATACCGGGCCAATGATTTTTGTCGCCCTAAACGGGGTGCCAATCTTCCACCAACCAGTGCGGGACGAATTTGACCAGCCTTCTCAAAGTTTGTTTGCGGGCAACGACAGGACCACGCCAAAATGTCCATCATCCAAATACGTCTTTTCTTGGGGGTTGTCCCTGAGACAAATCTGACTCCGTTTCTCGATCCATCGAGCTTCCAAAGCTGAACAACTCGCTGGCTCAAGCGCGATGCCCAAGAAACAAGAGGAACAACTGAGAGCTGTATCAACTTATGGACTGATTATTTGTTTTTCCATCGTCTGGGAACTGATCAATTGTATTGCAGATAAACATTGACTCCCGAAAACCATGGCGATGAGAGGAATCTGTTCAACATTGGCGAACACTTTATGCGCTTTTCAGCTGGGAAGTTGATGGTTGGTAGGTTTCACTCGCAGGGCCAAAGACGAAGCAAGGGTCTGGACAGGATCATAGGTGTCCTTTTGATCGGTTAGTTTGGTTAGAAATAGATGGCACTGAAATAGATTGGCTTTATTCCATTTATCAAGGAAATCTATTTTTCCAACAGGCGACCTATGGACGGATCGCATCGGAAAATGTTGACAGTCAGACCCAGGATTGGCAGAGGGTGGATGGTATTCCGTGCCACTTTTGCATTGTCTTTCTCTGTTCCCACAGATACGCTGATCCGTAGTTCTGGTCCCATTGAAGTCAGCGTGTTCTTCTTTTGGGAGGGGGTTCTCAAACTGGCTTTTTCAGGTTGTTGCCAGAAGTGAATCTGAAAAGGTGGGCCTAGCCGAGCCCTTGAAGGGTGGTATCGGTCGACCTGAGCTTAACATATGTGACAGGGTTTCCAAATGGTTTGCCTCAGTTCCGAACAAGAGAACAAAGGTAAAATGGGTACCCTCAACAAACAGTGCCGCATTATTCTTGCAGGTTGATGTCTTTTGGAGCCACCTTTCGAAGGGCAAGACTGAGGATGTAACAAAACATGGGTCCAGTAGCTTCGTTTCACCGCGCTTTGAGTCGCAGCATGTGAGAAACGCGTAACTCGCACGTTTCTCTGCGCGTCTGGCTGAAGCCGAGCAAAAACAGACAGTGACGGGGGGCAGGCGGGGGGCGAGGGTTCCCTGTGTTGGAGAATAAAAGGATCTGGTCCCCAATGTCTCAACAAGTCAACATATTGGGTTTTAGTCACCAAGCTCTGTCAGTTGGGGATGCAATGACTATTCACTATGACCTGTCACAAGGGTCTGCAGCCCGGTGATTTGAGGAGGGCGAAGAGGGAGAAGAGGGCGCAAAGACGTGTACAGGTGCCACGGGTAAGTGTATTACACCCACGTTTACACCGACATCTTGGAGTTGCTAAATTACAGTTTGTTCCGCTTGGGAGGTGTGTGATATTTCAGAGCAATTCGTCCAGTTGGACACACCACATGGCGTCGTGCCCCTGTGCCTTTCTGGCGGAGTAAACGAACAAACCAAAAGCCATCGAAGTGGGTCATGCAGGCCAGGCCCCTTTCAATAAGACCCAGCTGGTGATTTGTTTGTTTGGACATTGTGAGAAGGGTCCCATGAATCCTTTCGGCTCGAGTCCGAGACTTGCCGTGGTGTGATCCCAAAACGTTGCCGCGTGTTCGCGGCCGCTTGCGGCCGGGGAACTGAGGGGCCGGGACCAGTCAAGAAACCATCCTCAGCCCAGGGCCGACCGTTTGACCTTGTGGTTTCCTTTTGGTCTATCTTTAGCATGGCCCTAAAAGGTTCACAGGTCCTTTGGGCAAGCAAGAATCAGCTTGAGGGAAATGGGTCAGTTATTGTTTACCAAGGCTGGATGGTCGACCTTCAATCTGCCCAATTTCCCCATGGTAGGGTGGTCAACTTCTTTGGAACCTTTACACTCTTGGGCGTGGTGCCCCAGGTCCCAGACGGACATGTATCCATGTGGTCAACTGGCAACTAGACGTGGGGAAACCTTGCGCTGGTTTCCCCTTTTTTGGTGCCTGCGGGTCCCTTGAAATTGTTTGTTCTTGTGGACATGAACCTTCCGGAGCCCAAGGCAAGCAGCCATGTCAGCAGGGGCCATGTCCGGTCTCAAAAGGCATGGCTTGGCTGGTGTGGCGCTTGCCTTTCACCCGTGTTTTTTTCCGCGCTAAGTGCCAACTAGCCAACATGCTTGGTTCAACAGAGGGTTCAATTTTCCAGAGGATCGGTATGAGTAAAAAACGAACAGACCCTGTATTTAACACCCGGCCATTTCGAAGCGTGGCTTGCTGCATTTCTGGTCATGGGGTGTATGGACATCACCTTCAGATGCCCTTCGTTCGTCGACACTTCTGACACTCACTGATTAGCAAGTGCTAGTCGGCTGGACTTGCAACCAACTCGCCATGCATTTAATTGGGAGCCTTTCCCAAACATGAATCCCCACCTAAATGCTGTCCCCTATTAAAATTTGCACCCAAATCTTGAGCCCTCCCACTCCACGGCGCAACCTGACTGGCCCTTGCAAGACTCGTGAATCCTGATGGGTTCCATCTCACTCACCGCCACGGCGCCAGTTTGGGGCCCTGTATTCCACGCGGCCCCTTTGTGCTCCATGGTCTCTGAGATGCTCCTTGCTTACGCTGAAACCGTGATCGGCGGGGACATGCGCAAGAACAAGTTGTAGAGTCCGAGGCGCTCGAGCAATTCGATGCCTGGGTTCGATCGGAAACAAGCAATGATCCCTGGGTTCTGTGATTCTGAGAAGAGGAATGCTTGAACAGAATGGTAGGAGGGTAAGGTTGACCCGGATTCACACGTGCTTCCTCTCAAAAATATCATTTAAATTAATTCAAGCCGTGACATCTCCTTGATAAATAAAACACACACACACACACACAACCAGGGGGTGAACAAAAAAAACGGTGTCAAGCCAAGGACTCATGGACCCTAAAACCAGCAGAGAAGTCCGCCGGATTCATGTCAACAGGTTTTCAGCCACATCAGGGACCCTACCCCCCATCCTCCCTGAGGCCTCCATCATTTGGCTTGAGTTGGCATTGTTTGACCTCAATGAAGCTTATTCACCCCTAAGCCTTGGTTTCCTTTTTGAGGACGGCTGGAAGGGTTCCTTACTGGCCACTGAGGCAAGAGATGCTGAGGGCCTGGGCCACTGGCGGGCGAAGGAACAGAAGCACGGAACGGGCTGTTTGAGGAAGACTCACTGAAGCCAATGAACCAGTTTCGGCAACCCTGGTCTACTTTTAGTCCTGGCAACCCAAGAGGCGATCGCTTTGCATTCCCCGGTCCTTTGGCAAAACTCACTTTTTAGATGTGTGGTACAGGTACCGCGACTCTGGGTTTTTGTAGTTGCAGTATTTTAACTTGCAACGTTTGCTTAGAATCAACCCCTGGCGGCAGTGAAATGTCCCAAAACATGCCGCTCGCGCTTCTTAAACCTGATTTCTCCAGTTGGCCTCGCTTGCCAAAGAGAAACGGTCTTAGAGAAACGGCCCTGTGATTTGTTGTCCAATTTTGTCTACCTGTTGAGCGAGTTCCTGTTGGTGGGGTGATGTCTTAACGGTTGGGCATCCAGTTCAAATTTTGGAAAGAGGGGCTAAATAGTAACACACATTGTCCCATGATCATAAGCTAATGTGGTTTAACAGTTACAGTTTCATTTTTCAAACTCTAATTGTAGAGTATGATAAATTACAGGGCTCCCTTACCCCCCCCCGCCCCACCATCTTGGGCAGCATTTTGTTTCCAGGGAGCCCTTTATAGATTACGCCCAGCTGCGTCCGCTACACAATCGAATGCGTAGCGTCCGGCCCATGTGTTGCCGATTTACTGTAAGGGCGCCCAAGCAGGCCCCAGTTGGTCCATTGGTGGTTCGGATTGTTGTTGGGATTTGAAGCCCCTTCTTGTGGAGGGTAAATGGGGTTCCCACCCAACCACCAAACCACCAGTGGGAAGTTGAAAGTGGGCCTTCAGTTCATTGTCCAACAATATTTTGCCCCTTGCTTTTTGGTCGATGACATCAAGGGTGTCCTTTTCCACTGGCTACCGGTTGCAAATGTGTACTTACCGGGTACTTACCGTGTTTCGAGCCCCCTGAAGAACTGTCAGGGGGTGTTTTTGCTTCCCCATCCAGATATGGGTTTGTTTGTCTCTTCTTTTTCTTTGTCTGCTTCTTCTCTCCAGATAGCTGAAAGCTAGAGGGGTTCTAACTTCTAATAAAGAGGGGAAAGTGATTTGCGAGATTACGGCAGGGTGCTACGGGGCATGCAGTTTGGGGTGCTGTTTGAGGTGCTGGTGGCAGTGCGGGCGCATTTTTGCGAGATTGACGGCAGGGCGCTAGGGGGCATGCAGTTTGGGGCGCTGGCGGGTAGCTGCTGTTGGTGGTGTTAGCGCATTGGTGCTGAAACGCATACAGTTTGGGCTGCTGGCGCTGTTCGGGGTAGCTGTTGTTGGTGCAGGTGTTGTTGGAGGCACTCGTGACGGTGGGTGCATAATTGTGAGTTGACGGCAGGGTGCCAGAGGGCGTGCAGTTTGAGGTGCTGTTTGAGGTGCTGGTGGCGGTGCGGGCGCATTTTTGCGAGATTGACGGCAGGGCGCTAGGGGGCATGCAGTTTGGGGCGCTGGCGGGTAGCTGCTGTTGGTGGTGTTAGCGCATTGGTGCTGAAACGCATACAGTTTGGGCTGCTGGCGCAGGTGCTGCTTTGGGGTGCTGTTCGGGGTAGCTGTTGTTGACGGTGTGGTAGACGGCGAGTGCTAAGTGGAACGCAGGGGTGCTGGTGCAGGTGCTGTTGGAGGCGCTAATGACGGTGGGTGCATAATTGTGGGTTGACGGCAGGGTGCTAGAGGGTGCAGGTGCTGTTTCGAGGGGTACTTTGAGGGCGCATTTTGTCGAGATTGACGGCAGGCTGCTGGGGGGTGCTGATTCGTGGTTGTGGTACCATCATGATGCTGACCGCGTAATCATGATGTTGTTGAACGTCGTCGTCTTGTTTCGTGGCTGGTGTAACATCATGATGGCGCCAACCATACCATGATGCTGCTGGAATCATTTCGATGCTGAGTTATGGTTCGCGGGTCATGTAGCGCCATGATTCTGTCAACATCATCATGATTCGTGGCTGTGTCATCATGGCGCTGGCTGCATCATCTTGATGCTGTTCGCACCACCATGATGCTGTCGAACTCATTTGCACGTCGTCCCTGCCTTAAATGTAGCACGGCTAGCGCGTACAGGTTCGCGGCTGGTGTCTCAGCGTGATGCTGTCAGCATCATCATGATGCAGGTGGAGCCACTAGGATGCTGCGTCATGCTCCGTAGCCGTGGTATGCTATTTGGGTTCTATGCTCGTGTAACCCTTTACAAACAAAGTACCGAGCCGAAAGAAAAGGAACCAACAATATGTTTTTGTGTGTACCCCAGATCTAGGCCAACATTTTACTTGGTAGGTATGCCGCCCATTTGGCATACAGCATTTGGAAAGATTTAGAGAACGCCCAGAATTTGGCCTTCCACCCCAAGTGTGAACCCGTTTGTTTTGTAAAATGAGGGGCTCACAGACTCCGGTCGGGACCCGGTCAACTTCTGTGTCTTTTGAAGAAGAGGAACACAAGATCGTATTTTGCAGCCCAGAAGTCTCAAACAACTACAAAAAAGAAGGTGCTTGCAACATGGCACTCGTCCATAGGGGGTTGCGGATCTCTTTGCGAGGTTATACTGCTGTGCAGCCTGCCCCTGGCTGCATATTCTCAGGCCGGCTGTTGAATTGGCAGAGCTGTGCTGGTATGGCATGTATTTGCCAAACCTTCATTGCTTTGCTGTCTCATGCCTTGGAATGTGCGCCACGAACAATGGCAACAGATTGCATGTGTGAGTGTGGCTTGGCGCCTTGCTTGCGAACCTTTGTTGGACACAATCAGCGTGCCAGCTTGTATTTTGCTGTGTGGGACAAGTTGAGTGGCCAGGCTCAGACATTGGCCCAAGATCGCAAGACTCAAGAGGAGTCAGTAGTTGCCGAGGTGTCAGGATGTCGGTGGATGCAACTGTCTTGGCGGCCTTCAAAAAGTTTGACAAGGACAAAACTGGCAGCATCAGCCGTGAAGAGCTTGCAGCCGTGTTGCAGACTCTTGACCCTGTGGAATGGGACAATGATGCCATTGATCACCTCTTGACGCAAGCAGACTCCAGTGGTGATGGGGAGCTGCAAATCCAGGAGTTTGTGAGCTGGGTCTTCGCCGAGAACTACAAATCCGTGGGTGTTGGCCCTCACGCCGGAACCGGAGATAACTGTTTGGTCATCTCCGGCTGCTCTCGAGATGAGTTGAATGGAGTGTATGTGCAAATGAGAGACAAACACTATTGCCATCGCCCCGTTTTCTTGTTCGCCGCAAAGAGTCGATTCCTTTTCTACCAATCCAAGCGGCAGCAGTGGCAAGTCCACCATGAATGTAGCATGAAGGCTAGCTGCCGACTACAAACCAAGCGTGCCCCACATCTGGGCGGTACTTGGAGTGTTTGGAAGCAGACCGGGGACGCCAGCTCTTTTGTGGAAGAGCCAGAGATGGGTTGCGCTTTGCAACAGTTGTCGGCTGAGGAGCAAATTTCCAAAGCTGCCAAAGCGATAGTGGTCAGAGAGCCGAGTAGCGTGAAAGGCTGTTTTCTCAGGCAAGAAGAACTTGTGAATGGTAGGCCCTTGTACTTCAAGGACAAATGGGGTGGCCAGTGCATTGTCTACTTCGCAGAGGAGGAAATTTGGGGCCTTGTCAGCGGAAAGCCCGGGGCTTGTGGTGATCTCAAGTTCGCCATGAGTGATACAACCCAAGGCTACTCTCCAGATTTAGTATCATGGAGACTTCGAGACGATGATGATATCGACCTTGTCGCTGCAGACCCATCGACCGGCGCAGCCAGCCTCAATGTGCCTGAAGGTTGGAAGGACCCAGAAATGCCACACACACTAGAGAGCATTGGAAAAGGTAAGGAAGTGCAGTGGATGAGGGCTTTGGCGATGACACCATGCCCGGTACTCTTTGGAGATGATTGTAGGCCTCAAGATGCTTGTCAGGGAAAGATGGGCGATTGTTGGCTGGTGGCAGCCATCGCTTCTATGATGGAATTTCCTGGTTACATCCAAGAGAAGATCTTCCTCACTAAGGAACTTGCACTCGACGGCAAGTATGAAATCACGCTCTATGATTGGAAAACGGATACCTGGCCGGTGATCCAGGCGGGGCCCTTGTTTTTGAACCCCTCACCAGGTGTTTCTTTTGGAACCCCAGGTTGATGACTATTTGCCCGTGGGCTTTCGCTGGGACACCTGGGAACCACCAAGACCACAGTTTGCCAGCATCCCGGATGGCAAGCTCTACGTTGCGCTCCTGGAGAAAGCCTTTGCCAAGCATCGCCGGGGTGGAGCTTGCTATCAGGAGCCGGGTGGTAGCTTAAGATCTTCAGGCTGAACGTAAGAATATCACAGCTTTGAATTGCGCAGCTGCTTCCTTACCCCTCCCTTCCCCAGCTTTCAAGCCAGTTTGAAAGCGGCGATGCCTGCGTAGGACCTTTCAACCGGCGATGCCTGCGAAGGTATCGTGGCAATGACTGGATGCTTGGAGAGGACATGGTACCATGCTACGGATTGGAAGGAGCATCACCCAGAGAGACCACCCAAGTGGGTTGTGACTGCGAATGAAGGTGTGGCGGTTCATGCCGAGTGTCCCAAGACGACTGAGAAGCTTGGCCAGCTGTCTCAGGGTGCAAACTTTCAGGAGGTGGCGCGCGATGGCGGCCGCATTCAATTCAAAAAGATCAGTGGTGATGGTCCAGAAGAGGGTTGGTTGTCTTGGTATGTGGCTGGACAGAAGGTTGCAAAGCGCTGCAGCGAGTTGCGATGGTTCAAGGACGTGGGAAAGGTTAGAAGCCTGGCTAAGCCTGGTGTTGTGTTTTGGGTCATGTTTTGTAGGTCCTAGGTCCTCCTTTTGCAAGGGTCCTGCTTCTTGAGTGGGCTTTTCTATCTTGTTTATTTGGGGGGGGGGGGGAAAAAATGGAGAAAGTAGGGGGCCTGGGGGGTGGTCTGTTGAGGGTTGCCTGTTCTGGTTTTTATGTTCATCTCAAATCTGTGTTCCCCCTTATTCGTTTTTAAAAGAGGGTTTTTAGGGAGCTTATTTATCGTTTTCGTTAAGGTAATCATTTGGGTAATTGCCCCCCTTGTTCATTGTTGGGCTGGGGGCCGACATTTTTTTCATTTGAAAGAGTTAACCCTTTTAGTAGTTATCAAGTTCTGGGGTGTTGGTGGTGTATTTGTTTTGTTAGTGTTTTTCTCACTAATTTTCATTTATAGGTTAAAAGTTCAGTATAATTATAACATATAAGATTTTACATGTTATTATTTATTATTTATAGTTTCAGTTCAGGATAATAATCTAATTGGTTTGTCTTACTTCTTTCATACATCATTTTAAAAATAATATTAACATCTCTCACTGTATTCTGAACATTAAACTTTTTACTTTCAATAAATAATTTGATATTTTCTTTAACATCTTCTCCTTTCTCTTGACTATAACCCAACATCCATAATATATCGTAAATCGTGTCATATTTTTTCTTACTGATTTTAAGAAACTGTTTAACACAATCGTAAGGTGGTATTTTATTTACAGTTAGAAATATTAAAATATCATCTTCTACATTTCTATTATGTATTCTTTTTATTCCCAACAGACATTTGATTAAAAATTGATTATCTCTCCAAGTTTTACAATTTTTACATATGTCTTCTTCACCATCCATTGAATAATTAATAATATTATTCACTATTTCATTAGGTAAACTCAATTTATACAATTCCATATTTTCTTTTTTGAAGTGACAACAATCATAGCATTTTTTATTGATATAATTATTGATTCCATCACCGTTCATTTTCCTTTTAATATATAAGGTAATATTTCTTTAAGTAGTTTTGGCTAGGGGTTATGGTTTAGTTATGAATTACACAGGTTCATCAACCATTAGTTTAAACCTTATGTTTTGTACTCCTTCAAAATTCATTCTACTTCTTTCACTATCAATACATCTGTATATTGTTTGATGTGCCTCTATCATTACTTCGGATATATTATCTATGGTTATATTATCTACAAAATCATCACTATGAAAATGAAAACTAAAAGTGTTAAAATGGTCGTCTTCATAATAATTGAAATGATGAAACCTTACAAACATATTTACCTCAACTATTATAACTTCTCCATAACTGTTATCGGTTTCAATGCCATCTAACAAACAACCTAAGTTTTCATTTTCATTAAAAACTATATCTTCAATGCTTTTAATGCTTAAAGGTTTATTTCTTGAAATGTAATACTCAATTACGTGTCTCTTTATATCATCACCACCTACAGCAGTTCGACGCTTTGTCTTTCTTTTTGTTTCTGTTCTGTTTATTTTATATTGTTGTTGTATTCTCTTTAATGTCTTAATATGATTATGTTTTATTTTCAAATACTCAGGTTCCCCTAATTTATATGAAATGATACCTTTTAATACATCAACAGGTAAGCTAGCACAATTCTCAACCATAAAATTATTATCTGACATTTTACCCCCACTCATTTTTCTCTTAATATATAAGGTTTTTTCTCTTTAAGTAGTTTTGGCTAGGGGTTGCTGGTCGGCTGGTCTGGGTTTCAGGTTTAATTTAAATGTCTTAACCTTCTTTTTAGATTATAAAACAATGTTTAATCATATTATAAGATAATAATATTAATAAACAAAAGTTAATTTGACCCGAATTCAATCTCACCAGCGATACAACCACTATAACAACTCATACTAGACTCACAACAATAATGCTCGTATCCTTTTATTAATTGGTCTATGTAAATTTCAATTAATTCGCTAAGAATATGTCTCAAATAATAATTGTTATTTCTATATGACCACGAACTGTTTAGGTTTGGAAAGCTAAACCTACAACGTTTAAATTGTTTTAAAGCTTCAATGTCAATACATTTTTTTAAAATGATACAAATCTCATATTCATTATTCTTACAGTATGATTTTAAAGCTTGATAATACATTTTTCTATTTTTAAACCGTTCTTTAACTTCTTGTATATCAAATACTCGGTCAATGTGTTTTCTGTAATGTCTTATTTTTATACTATATTGGTTTTCTGCTAGTAGAGTAAAAACATTATTTTGCATTAGTTTAATAACTTGTAATTGAAGTTCTGCTTTTTCCAGTCCTTCTTCAGGAATGTCTTTATTTCTCATAAAATGTTCTTCTTCATCTCTCAAATACCAACAATCAAAACATGTTGGTTTAATATAACCACCTACAAGATTACAAACATCAACAGGTAAAATATTAGCTAGTCCCACGACAGACTTACATTTTTTATTTTTACAAGGACAATTATCATAATTAAACAGTGTCATTTTTTCTCTTACTATATTATATCCATTTTTCTTTAAGTAGTTTTTTATTTTATGTTGAGGGGTGGGGGTTTATATTGAAAAATATTTTCTAACAATTTAATATAATGGCGAGATTAACAAAAGACCAAATAATCAGCAACATCTATTACGACTTAGACGAGGGCTTCGGAAGCACACAAGCGACACACAAGAAGGCAAAGGAAGAAGACCCAACAATAACAATAGACGATGTAAAGTCTTTCTTAAAGAAACAACCAAATAAACAAATCAAAAATTATAGAGGTACTAATTCCTATACCGCTCCATTCGCGCGATATGAATATCAAATAGACATAATGCATATGTCACCTTTAGCAAAAGACAAGATCGTTCCACAGTATGCTTTAGTCGTGATTGACATCTTCAGTAAATTAGCAGATGTAATACCGATGGAGGAAAGAGACGGAGAGCACGTTTTGAAGGCGTTGAGAACAAGCTTTAAAAAGATGGGTTATCCGATGTCCGTGTATTCTGATGACGACGGAGCGTTTGCAACTAAAAATCAAGTTCAGGATTTCTTCAACAGTGAAGGAATAAACCACATCGTCACGAAGACCCACGCAAATGTGGCCGAGCGTTTTATTAGAACGATGAAAAACAAAATTCACGATAGAGTTAGGTTTAACAACATGAAATGGACCGACGCCCTAACGCCAGCATTGAAACAGTATAACAGCACATCTCACTCATCAACAAGGATGACACCGTCTGAAGCACACAAGGACGACAATGAAATAAATGTAAAGGTCAATCTTAAACTACGAGAAAAAAACAAAAGAAAGTATCCCAGAATAGTGGAGAACGACAAGGTAAAAGTGTTTCAAAAGAAAAGGGGTAATTACACCGACAGAAAGGAGTATAACTCTAAATGGTCTAATAAAATATTCAATATCGATAAAATTGAATATGATATTATGGGTAATAAAACTTACAAAGTAGCAGGAATAAACAAACCGCTTTTGAGACACGAAATTTTGTTGGTTAATGATTAAACGTATTTCTTGGTGTCTTCTTTATACTTGACTTGATAGTAATCCAGACTTGATTGTTTAGGTTCTTTTATGATTTTTCATTCAGTTTTTTAACATAAATGTTTCGTTTATTTTTGTATTCGCTACTGTCTCTATCTACTTCTTTTGCTTGGTAACTGTTATTGTTATTATATGTAGGTTTAATATTCATGCTCTTTAAGATGTTCAGTATGTTTTCATTTTGCTCCAACACGTTTTCTAATCTTGGAAACAACAACTCTAAACTACTGTCAATGTTCGCTAAATGTTCCTCCATATATACTAAATTATAAAACTAAACTTTTAAAACTAAATGTTGCAATTATGTTAAATCTACTCTTTAAATACTAATTTTTCATCATTTCACGTATAGTTTCCTGAGTTTCGTTATCACCATTTTCCGACAGTGATGCATCCTTACCCCATTTAAAAGTTATATTATGAACATCCGTTTCCAGATGTATACTGTCTTTAGTTTTATCGATATTTATTCGTTTATCATTTTTACTCAATTTGAAACTTGCTGGAATACACGAGCAATTGCAATTTTTATTATTTTTTATTTCTAATTCATTTTTCATTTCTAATATTCTTTTACACATTGGACAAGCAAACTCAATAACAATTTCTTCTTTTTCTTCATCAGTTGAAGAAACTACTGACTCGGTCTTATTCTTTTTCTTTCTTCCCATCTATATTAATATTTATATTTTAATATATTGTATTCCTAACTTAATTAATTCTAATGAATAATAACAACATTTCTTAATTTTATTATCGGTTATTATTACTTGTTCTATATTTTCTACTTTATCTATTATATCAATATAATCCGAATAACTTCTATTCATATAAAATAATAAATATAAAATATTTTCTAAATAACTTTAATATTATTTTATTATGTCTGATGTTCCAATAATAAAACCAATAAATATAACTGATTACGATTTCAAACAATCTAAATATGAACATGTGCCAAAACTACCTTTTCGCTCAATTGTTGTTGCTTCATCAACGGGTGGCAAAACAGTTTTAATTCAAAACCTTATCCTAAATGTTTATAGGGACTGCTTCGCCCGTATATTCATTTTTAGCCCGTCGGTTCATAATGACCCTACCTTCGTTGAAGTCAAGAAATATCAAAAAGATAATATGAAGGTTGATGATGAAAAAGAAAAGTTATATTATGACACCTACCAACCTGAAGAACTGGAAGAAATAATTAACACACAAAGAAAGATAATTCATTATATGAAAGAACAGAAGATGAAGAAACTACATTCAATTTTAATCATTGTTGATGATTTTGCAGACGACCCTAAATTTGTTAGATACAGCAAGTTATTACATGGACTGGCAACGAGAGGCAGACACGACGCCATTAGTTTTTGCTTAAGTGTTCAAAAATATCGTGTCCTTG